ATGCAGTTCAATACGTTATTTATTCTGTGAAGGTTGTAAATGGCAGCTGGATCCAGATACCTGATCTGACTCAAGTTTGGTCTCTGTGGTAAGACTAGAGATGGTGTGTTCTTTCTACGGGAGGCACAATGTTTGAATTTTTAGGGAAAATTTATAATGAGTCAAATTTCTTTTCTTTTCTTTTCTTTTTTTGTGAGGAAGATCAGCCCGGAGCTAACATCCATGCTAATCCTCCTCTTTTTGCTGAGGAAGACCAGCCCCGGGCTAACATCTATTGCCAATCCTCCTCCTTTTTTATCCCCCAAAGCCCCAGTAGATGGTTGTACGTCGTAGTTGCACATCCGTCTAGTTGCTGTATGTGGGACATGGCCTCCGCATGGCATGGCTGGAGAAGCAGTGCGTCGGTGTGCACCCGGGATCCAAACCCAGGCTGCCAGCAGCGGAGTGCGTGCACTTAACTGCTAAGCCACGGGGCCCGCCCTCAAATTTACTTTCAATCACAGTGGTAAGTACATTTATGTAGTAGTTTCCCCTTATCTGTGGGGGATACATTCTAAGACCCCCAGTGGATACCACAGATAGTACTGAACCCTACATATACTATGTTTTTTCCTATACATACATACATTTTATGAAGTTTAATTTATAAATTAGGCACAATAAGTAATTAACAAAAATAACTAACAGTAAAATAGAACAATTATAACAACATACTGTAATAAAAATTTCTGTAGATCTGAGCAACCTCAGCATACAATTTCTTTTCTTTTCTTATTGAGAACTTTCACCTTTTCACTTAAAGGCAGCACTTTATGACTTCTCTTTGGCGTATCTGAATTGCCAGCAACACCCTCTTGCATTTTGGGGCCATTATTAAGTAAAATAAGGTTACTTGAACACAAGCACTGCGATACCACGATAATCAATCTGATAACTGAGACAGCTACTGAGTAACTAGTGGGCTATAAAGCATATACAGTGGACATGCTGGATGAAGGGATGATTCACACCCTGGGAGGTCCGGAGCGAGACAGTGTGAGATTTCATCATGCTACTCAGAACCGTGTGCAATTTAAATCTTATGAATTGTTTATTTCTAGAATTTTCTATTTAATATTTTTGGACCATACTTGACCACAGGTAACTGAAACCATGGAAAATGAAATCATGGATAAGGGGGCACTATTGTATTCTAAAATTAAAAATAGGGCCAGAAATCTCACTCACCCAAGTCTAGGCCCTCTTAGCTGGCTATTAGATAAGAAAAATTCAATATATTGGTTTGTTGAATCTAGAATTTTTAAGATCCAAGATCACCTATAACTATAATAACTTTAGTAATATTTCAGTACAGTCTATTAATTACCTATGACTACTGGGTTAGAGTTGCCCAGTAATAATCATAAAAGTTAATACTAACAGAGTGCTTATTTTGTGCTATGCACTATTTTAACCCCTTTTACATTCTGTGCATATTCTTCATTTGCCTCCGCTCGGTCTGTAGTAAATTGCAAATGTAAATACATATGGTATATACGGTTTGCCACTCCTAGTCATGTGTTGGAAAGTGTTGACTATATTATGTTAAATAATTACTAAACCCCCAATTTCAGTCTCTTCATTTTGAAGGCCTGCACAAAATTCTGTGATGGGCAAAATATTGTTCTTCTGCTCAATTGCAGCTATACAAGAGGTGATGTGGAGTATTGCCACAGGATGTATCTACTGAAGAGGCAGACATAGCATCCTTAACCAGTTCACACATATGTGTGTATTCACATGCACACTGGGTATCATGTGTCCACATAGGTGCCATTCATGGTTACCTAGTCCAGTGTAACTCCCTAGCCCAAGTCCTTGAACAGAGCAACCACACTTAGGGGAGTACCCAACTTGTTTTTTTTTTTTTTCACATGCATGTTCAAATTTATTAGTTCATGCTAATTTATCTTCCAAGGTGGTTGGTTGAACCAATTTACAGTCTCACCTGCAGTATATACGAGTCTCACTTAATTCCATATATTCGCCAACAAGTGGTGCCATTGGATCTCTTATTCTTCCCCATTTAATTGATGTGAAATTATATCTCATTGTGTGTGTGTGTGTTTTTAAGTTAAACTTTTAATTTTGAGATAGTTGTAGACTCACATGCAGTTGTAAGGAATAATACAGAGAGATCCCATGTACCCTTTACCAAGTTTCCCTCAACGATAACATCTAGCAAAACTACAGTGAAATATCACAAGCAAGATAATGGCAGATCTGGTTGTGATTTTCCATTGCTTGTACTCATTTCTGTGTGTGTGTCTGTGTGTGTGCGTGTGCACATGAGTGTTTACTTTCATGTAATATTATTGCCTGTGTAGGTTTGTGCATACATCACCACAGTTGAGATACAGAACAGTTCTATCTTCACAAGGATCCCATCTGTTGCCCTTTTATAAACACACCCACTTTTCTTCCTCCCATCTGTATACTCTGGCAACCACCAATTTGTTCTCCATTTCTACAATTTTGTCATTTCAAGAATGTTATATAAATGCAATCATATAGTATACAACCTTTGGGATTGGATTTTTTTCACTCAGCATAATTCTCTGGAGATTCATCAAAGTTGCATGTGTCGATAGTTCTTTCTTTTTAATTGCTGGATAGTGTTCCCCAGTACCACAGTTTGTTTAATCATTCATCCACTGAAGGACATCTGGGTTGTTTCTAGGTTTTGGCTTTTACAAATAAAGCTGCTATGAACATTCGTGTATAGGTTTTCGTGTTAACGTAAATATCTATTTCTTTTGGATATATGCCCAAGAATGCAATTGCTGGGTTGAATGGTAATTGCAAATTTAGTTTTACAAGAAACTGCCAAACTGCTTTACAGCGTATTTGTATTATCGTACATTCCCATCAGCAATGTGTGAGTGATCCAGTTTCTCTGCATTTTTGTCTGCATTTGGAATTGTCACAATTTTTTATTTTAGTCATTCTGGGAGGTGTGTAGTGACATCTTATCATGATGTTAATTTGCATTCCTCTAACGGGTAGTGGTGTTGAACATCTTTTCATGTACTTCTTTATCATTTGTATATTCTCTTTGGTGAAATGTCTGTTCATGTCTTTTGCCCATTTTCTAATTGGATTGTTTTCTTATTGATGAGTTTTGAGAGTTCTTTATATAAACTCTCTATATTTGTCCTTTGTCAGATATGTGGTTTTCCAATATTTTCTCCCAGTCTATAGCTTGTCTTTTCATCTTTTTAACAGCATCTTTCTCAGAGCAAAAGTTTTTAATTTTGATGAGGTCCAATTTGTCAATTTTTTCTTTTATAGACTGTGCTTTTAGTGTCAGGTCTGAGAACACTTCACCTAGTCCTAGATCCAAAGATTTTCTCTCATGTTTTTCTCCCCCCTAAAACTTTATAGTTTTATGTTCTACACTAAATCTATGATCCATTTTGAGTTAATTTTTGAATAAGGTGTGAGTTTTTTTCATGATGGATACAGCACTATTTGTTGAAAAGGCTATCCTTCCTTCATTGAATTATTATATTGAAATGATGGTCTTAACTAGCCACATCAGCCTAGAAGATTTTAATGCAATTTTTTTTCTAGTCATAAAGTGAAAAAAAACCCAATTTCATATTTTTGTGAGGTATTTTATTTTGAAATTCAGAGATTTCCTACTTGAGAATCATCATCTTGTCCCTTTGTTTTTGCTTTAACAAGTAGCCTTTCATTGTGGTTATAGACGTTTAGAAAAATGTGGCGGAATGAGAATGCCTCATCCGTATGCCTCAAGCAAAGTTTGAAAAATGAAGGAGGAGGAAGAAAAAAGAAAAGAAAAACAAGAGAGGGCCTGGCCTTCAGCTTGTCTTCCATCCTTTTTTACCTGGGTTTCCTCGGACTGCTTCCCTGCCTGTAAATGGGCAGAGCAGTGCCCTCTTCACAGACTCCTCGTGATAAATGACACCTCACACACACAGCGTCCGGTCCAGGTCCTGCAGCAGCACGGATGGAAGAACAAACGTCTTTCTCCGGGGCGTCTGTGTCTCCTCCTGAGGCGTTTGTAGGGAGCTGAGCAGCCGGTGGGGAGAGAGCTTAGATTAGCGTGTGGGATGGAGGGGTGCGGGAGCCATAATGCGCTGCCCACCCGCAACACTGTGCACCCGTCCTCTGTGAGCCCTGGCTGTCGAGACGATCAGTGACCTAAATGGATTAGGAAAAGCCTGCCTGGCCTCTTCCTGCTGCCACCGCACCTGGGGCTCTCCGCGTTGGAGATTAGTGGGTGACAGCTTTGTCTGGGGGACAGACATTTAAACGTCAGCTTTGGTTTAAAGGGGCGCTTATAAGAGGAGAGGGAAGAGAAGACGAGCCCTCCTCACCCCCTCCTCCCGCAAACCAGTCCCGTGCTCTCCTGTGAGTCCGCACCTTCTCAAAACTCCGGGCTTAGCTATTCCTTCTGCTGAGCCTCGCTCTTCAGGCAGGTGTGGGTGACCATTAGAGACAGAGCGGTGCTGGCCCCAAATCCAACTCTGCACGCGGCAGTCGGAGAGGAAAAGACATGAATCACGTATTGCAAGCGAAAGAGGGTTTTAACCCAGTTTCCCAGAAAGCGGAGGAGAGCAGTCAACGGACACTAGGGGGCGTAGGTAGCTCTTTGCAACAGCGCATGCCCAGCACTGGGGGAGGCGCCATCCTCATGGTTCGTTTGCTCATTCATTTATTTACTCCCTTAGCCCTCCATTTGGGAGTTTATATATTTGTTTGCACATTCACTGAGTGAGGACCAAGCTGCTTGCTCAGCCAGCCCCCCAATGAACATTTCTGTAGCTTCTTCTGTGTGCCTGGCCCTGTGCCCAACGCTGGGGACACAAGTGATAAAAATATGGCGCCGCTGTGCTGCGCAGGAGGCTGGACCGTGTGTGGGCCAGGGTGGCAAGTGCTGGCCCTGACACGCTCCTGGACATTGCAGGGGCTCTGCCACAGGCGTGTCTTTGCAGGCATGAGCCCGGCCTCCGTGACTCTGGCCAGTGCCCTGCAGGTCAGGGGCGAAGCTCTGTCTGAGGAGGAAGTCTGGTCCCTCTTGTCCCTGGCTGCTGAGAGGCTCCTGGAAGACCTTCGTGATGGTAAGACAGTGTTTGGGGCAGTCGAGTCACGGGGGGTTGAGTGCGAAGCTTCTCAGACAAGCACATTTCTGGCTGCTGCTTCTCCATCTGTTGTCAGTCCAAAGTATCAGAACAAGTAGGCAAATGACAGCCACCCATGGCGCTGTGCTGAGAGGGCAGGCCTATCTCTTGGACTCATGGCATGAGGCGGAGTTGAAAGAAAGGCCTTGTTCTGCCTTGGGATTGCATGTGTAGGCCTGGTCCCTAGGGAGAGAGTGGCGACAGCTCCGCGGGCCTCTCCCAGCACCCGGCAGACTGGGCATGACCAGAGATGGGGGGCAGGGGGCAGCCACGGGAGCAGCTGACGCCCCACACCGTCCTCCGCCAGATGCTGCACCAGCTTGTGTCCGCTCAGGAGAGAACCCACACACTCAGTGGTCTAAACGAGGGGAGTGTGTGTTAACATAAAGAACTGTTAAACTCCGACGGAAGAGTAACTGTAAGATACGTCTACGTGGTCCCCTAGGGCTGAGGGCAGTACCCAATGAGGGACAAAGTTTGAAGGGAAACCCCCTCCCCAGGTTGGGGTTCAGACCTGCTGGAGTTGCTGTGTTTGCAGCCCTTGATAAGAGCTGCTTTGCCTGGCCATGGGTGGTCTGCAGCCACTGGACCAAGGAGGCACAGGCAATCGCCAACAGGGGCGGGGTGACTCTCTGGGCGGAGACGGGCGCAGGCGGGCGCCGGCAAGCCACAGCTCCGGAGCTCATGCGGGCGGGGGGCCTGGAGCCCGCAGCCTCTGTGTAGACAGGGTCGCAGGAAGGTGATCACTGGGCCGAGGGATCACGCGTCCTGGACGTGTCTCAGGGCAGAGCGTCACCCAGTGTCCTCCGCACACACCGCTGATCCCCCAGAAACAGCCGCGGAGCCTGCCTCCCGCGATGTCTCTCTGCCGCCCTCTACTGAGAAAGCTGCGCAGTGCGCTCGCTGTCAAGGAGAGGTGCTTGAGGAGGGAGCAGATATGAAAGAAGGATTTGGAGCTGCGAGGCGTTAAATTGACAACTGGAACAAACACTGAGCGCCCACACTCAGATGTCAACTCAGAAGTCACACGTGCTCCCCACGTGTGAGATCACACATGCGCAGTCAGGGTGAGGGTCCCAGCTGGGGAGAGGAAGGGAGGCTGTGCACCTGTACCCACAGCTTCATCTCCCTGAGTCTTCACACCCTCGTCCGCGCCCTGGAGGTTCTGATGAACAGCTACAGCACGCCCAGAAGACCAGCTGCCTTGGTCCCTGGCTTGGCTCCAGAGAACTCAGACTTGTGCTAATTTCCAGGTGGATCTGAACTCGCTTTACCTTTTACCTTGAGACTCTTGGCCACTGATGAATTTGGAAGCAGGTGCTATTGTCCCAGCCACCCCTGCAGCCACCTTTTGTAATATACGCTCCTGTGCACACACACATCAGGGTCGAGTTTGTTCTGCTCCGTGGTTCCCCGGGTCTTGCTCACAGTCCGTCCCAGAGGAGGTTATTGCAAGGCACACCCCAGGCACAGTCCCACGGTTGGTCCTCCAGACAGCGGCTCTGTCTCTACATCCCCACCACTGCCTTGGTTTCAGATTCCTCGGACTATGTGGTCTGCCCCTGGTCAGCCCTGCTTTCTGCGGCTGGAAGTCTTTCCTTCCGAGACCATAATTCTCACATGGAGGCTGCTGCTTTCAAGGCCCCTGAACTGCTACAGGGACAGAGTGACCATGAGCAGCCGGACGCATCTCAGGTAAGGCGTGTGGCGTCTTTGCAGCACCCTTGGGCCTGTCTTCTGGGAAAGGCCTGGTTCTAGGAACTCGGACCTGTCCTGGGAGCGGCATCCCCAGCTCCCAGCTCAGCCCCGAGGAACACTGAGGCAGAATGAGTTTAAAGAACTTTATTCCCAGACTTTCTTGCCAGCAATTTATTAGCTCTTAGAGGAGGACAAGTTAACTTCTCTGAGCCCCAAATTCTACGTTTGTAAAGTGGGGTTAATATGACCTACTCCATGAGCTTATTATAAATATTCAAAAAGAAGTGTTGGAAAAGCTATGGGTAGATGGCCTGGCACAGTGGTACCAGTGGCAGCATGTAGCAAAAACCCTCAAAAGGGCCCAACAAGTCCTCAACTAGGAGTTTATGTGAAGGCATGAGTAAAGATCGATTTAGCTACAGTAATGTTTATTGTTGAATTGTTGATGTTGGTGATAAATTGGAAACAAGCTAAATGTCCAGTGAGAGTGGACGTGAAACAAGACAGTGTTAAAATGAGGCTGTAGGAGCTTACTTAATGACTTGAAAAGAAATGAAACATATGCATATACAATGTGATCCTAGTTGTATAAACATACCATGCACACACACACACACACACACACACAGGGAGAGAGAGAGAGAGAGTTCTAAAAATACGTACACCAAGGTGTCTGCAGTGATTATTTCTGGATGGCAACATCAGTGGTGAATTTTTTTTTTCCATAGACGTGTTTTGCTTCTGAATAGCAAAAAGTTCTAGTAAATATTATTTTCAATTTTGAAAAGAAGAAATTCTAAGGAGAGCATAATGGAAGGCAGGCGCACAGTGCTGGGCAGGGCATAGTGGGCTCTTAATCAATGAGTTCTGTTCCTTTTTCCTTGTCATTTCATGGGAGAAGTGCAGATCTGGAAATTCTGCTCCTCTAGGGAGGCATCCTGGAATCTCAGTTTGGGCTTGGAGAATAGGGCGTCAGTGGCTTCTAGGTTTGGTTCATCTGGGCTCACGTGTCTCCAAGTCAGATCACAACAGTGAAAGCATCAGAGTCCCAGTCGTGGTGGCCCTGGCTCCATCACCACCACCCGCACCGGACTCCAGGCCCCGCACCCTTTCCTACACTGCCAGGATCCCAGGGGTGAGTCCTTGGACTCCTCTGTCAGGCACGGACTTGGGTGCCTCCCAGGTGCCCTCTGTTCAAGTCTCCCTGGTGGTGCTCCACCCGCACCAAGCTGCCTCCTACTCTCTGGACTCAGTTAAGATGCCTCATCCTGAGCCATGGGATCTGACTTTCTGAGCAACCCCTAGAGGGCCTGCTGATACGACCTGAAAGTGCAGGGGACCTAGTTTCCTATGGGGCGAACCTTCACCAATGGCAAATCAAAGTTGGGGGGAACTGAGAACATTAATTCTCCCTCCTTTCTTTCCTCCGGATCTGCTTCAAGATGGGCAAGACTTAAAGCCTTCCAGAGAAGTTCTGAGGCTGGGAAGCTAGGTCGGCTGTGCTTCTTGCTGTGCTCTGTGGCTTGTTGCAGGAGATGGCCAGCATGGTGGCCCCAAACATTGCATCTGACTTGGTTCCCTTCCCCTTTTCTCTTCTCCCGCATTGCCCTGAGTTTATAGCTCCTGAATGAAGTATCAGTCCTTAATCCTTGCCTCAGGCTCAGCTTTCTACAGGACTTTAACTAAGACAGGTCTTGAGTGCTCCTGGGGTCCTTCCCCATCCCTCCCAGCATTGCTGGTGAGGGACAGATGTCACCCTCCTGACTGCCATGTGGCCCCCTCTGAGTGTCTTGTGCAGGTCTAGTCACTCCTCTGCTCAGAGCATCCTTGAGCTGAGCTGAGCTGAGCTGGAGGAAAACATCCTCCTGCCTCCTGCACATGTTCCTCCATGCAGAGGAACGAGGGCTCCAAGAGTTCTAAGGCTGAAGGAACAGACTGAGCTAAGAACTGGGGAGGTGTGTTGTAGGAGTGTGGCTTAAAGGGCAGAAAGCACCAGCCTTGATCCTGTTCATGTGGCCTGGCCATTCTCTCTCTTACAGCATCTCTACCACGCAGCTCTGTTAATTACTGTTCTCTTCCATTCATCACAGCTCCTCTCTTTGTCTAATGTGGCTCGGGTCCTAGGGGGAGCGAGTTAGGCAGTCAGGAAAGTGGTCTCAGGAGAGGCTGTGCTCAGGATCCTGCCCTGGCCCTGGGCCCCATTCTGAGGTTTGGAGGATACACCCTGACTCCTCTCCCTGGGCCAACATTGCGCTGTAATCAGCACACTGAGATGTTTCCCCTACTCCTTGGAGTGTTAGTAGAAGGTATGTGCAGGTTTCTAATGACAAGTCATTTGTGACACCATCACCCCATCCCATGCTCATGGCAGACATCACAAATCAATCATGGCTGGTTTCCTGCTGAGCCAGGACTTGCCTTCAAAATCCTTCTCACCACCCTTCTCCAGCAGTGTCTCCCAGTGGGCTGGTGCTGGGATTCGGGATGAGGCCTGGTGTCACTGTGGCCTTGGGCTTTGCCCCGGGACACCTTAGGCAGAGCCCTGGGAACCCAGGTAAGTTCCTGGGTGTGGACGGTGCCTCTGGCGGTGCTCAGGACATCCATGTTCGGGGACACTTCTCTGGAAATGAGGGTGCAGCTGTGAACTCCCCTGCAGGTGTCCAGTCACGTTCATCAGAGGGGTGGCTGGCTCTGGGGTACAGTCTCAGACCAAGAAGAGAGCTGACCGGCACGTGTGGCTCTGGACGCATGCCCTTGACCTAGACGTGTCAAGAACCAGACCAAACCCACTCGTGTTAAACTCAGCGGATCCCTCAAGGAACCGTGCGTTTTCACACGCCGCATTTAGTTAATTCAACGTCTCCCTTCCAAAGTCCCACGTGTGGTTTCCTGAAGAGGGCCCTGAAGGGGAAGCCTCACAGAAATATACACTGATATTTAGTGAGAACTTCCTGTGACCCCGAGGCGACATAGCCGAGTGGCTTAGGGCAGGGGCTCTGGCGCCCGGGTTGAAGTCCAGGCTCTAGGTCTCATTTGGGTGAGTTCTCTAACTTGTCTTTGCTTTAGTTTCCTTCTCCGTAAGATGGGGATGATTGAAATACCTGCCTCACAGGACTGTGGTGAGGACAATAAGTTAGTATAAGTAAAAGATTCAGAGCAAGGCTTGGTATATTATAAGTGCTCTGTGTCCAATAATAACAATAACAATTATTATTATTATTATTACCATCTCCAGGCACTTTTTGCTCAATACTCTTGAGTATTCAGGCAGAATACTCACTTTAAAGGTGAGGAAACTGAGGCTCAGAGAAGTCAGATAGTGCTCTTCCGTGACACCATGCTGCTGTCTGACAACATACGATGCTTTTTAATCAGGCTGAACCACAGTGTGGCATGTATGGAGGGCTTTGGCTATAAGAAAAAGAAAGCCTAAAACACAGTGGCAGGAACCACAGATATTGTTTACTTAACAGGAGGTCTAAGGATTGGTCGTCAGCTCAGTAAATGTCATTAAGTTTCCAGGCTGTATAGTCCCATTCTACCCTCCTTAGCTGCTGGCTTTTTGTCCTTATGCTTGTTGCCTCACGGTCACAAGATGGCTGCTATGATTCCATGTATCACATCAGTGTTCAAGGCAGGAACACGGGGGAAAGTATGGGGCCAGTCAAATGTGTTCCTATTGCCAGTAAAACAAAAGTTTTCTCAGAAGTCCCTTAACAGACTTCCCTGACATCTTTTGCCAAAATTGGGTGTCATGATCCCTGAGGCTTTCAGCCTCTAGAGTAGGAGGCAGTGAAGTGTAATGGAGTTGCGGACAGTTGTTGGGCTAGCCAGCCAGCAGTGTCTGCCGCATGTGGAAATTGCATTGTATGTTGTTTGCAGGATGATGGAGTAACAGAGGTGACTGAAATCTAACCATGTGCCTTTCCCCTGGGCAGATGCATGTCTACTCTTTAGGAATGACCCTCTACTGGTCGGCGGGGTTTCGTGTTCCACCAAACCAGGTCTGTAAACACAATGCTCCCAGTCTCGCCAGGGCATGCCTTCAGATTTGTTTAGTGGTTTTGCCCAGGGCAGGGCCACATCTGTGGAGCCCTGTGCCACCACTCCCTCCTCCCAGGTTCTAGGAAGGCTTTGCCAGCCGATGACAGATCTGCTCCTGCTGAGTCCAGAACAACCCCAGAATCCTGCTCTGCGTGGCGCTCCAGGCAGCCACAGTTGAGGACTGACAAGCAAGAGATGACTTATTTGCACTCCTGATCAGAGGAAGTAGCAAGCAGGGGGATTTTATAGATGCTGAGGGTACAAAGTTATAAAACAGCCTTTAGAGCAGCTCTTCCTGGAGTGAGATGCTTCCCTGAAGAGAGTTCTGTGCCCAATCGATTTGGGAAATGCTCTCTACAATATTTTCCTCTCGGAGATTTTTCAGAGCAGTTTATTAAAGACTCTGAGAAGGCTTAAAGCATAGAAACTTTTAAACTTGATCATAGCATTTTACAAAATTTTTGACTACAGAATATGTGTGTGTGTAAATTTTCATCTGACACTGTAAGAATTCCTTAGAAACCAATGTACCAAGAGCACATGCTGGAGATCCCTGCCCGGGCCTTCCTCCCTCCCTTCTTTTCTTCCCTCCTTCCCTCCCTCCCTCCCTTGTTTCCTTCCTTCCTTCCTTCCTTCCTTCCTTCATTCCCAGCCTTGCTCTCTCGAGTTCAACATCCCAGTGCTTCTCAGTGCTGTTTCTGAAACAGGCACCTGCTCATGTCCCTCCTCCTGGGACCTGTTGCACGTCCCCTCAACCCGTGGGGTTATTTCCACTTCTCAGCAGGACACACGTGGAGCCCAGAAATGGGTTGTCACCTGTGGCCCTGGTTCCTCTGCGGTACTCTGCTGTGTCAGGGCTGGCTTCACGGGCATGTGGCCTGTGTCACAGCACAGGGCCCTGCACTTACAAGGGCCCCGTGCTTGAGTTAATGCTTTGCTGTCGCTGTCTTGAAGTTCTTCGCTATCTTGAAGAAGGGGCCCCACATTGTCATTTTTCCCAGGGCCCCAGTCCTGCCCATGGCCCCTTCCTTTCAGACAAATGCCAGCCTTTGCATACATTGCTCCCTCCACCTGAAGCCCACTCCTCAGCCTTTCTCCTGGTTAACCCCAGCATATTTTCTGAGATTTAGTCTAAGTTCCTTCCCCAGCTCCTCCCTCCCTCCCCAGGCTGGGTTGGGCTCCTTCCTCTGTGTTGTTTCCATGTCCTGTGCTTACTGAGATGAGAGCCCTATCACCCTGTCCTGTCCTTGTCGCTCTTTTTTTTTTTTTTAATAATTTTATTTATTTATTTTTTTCCACCAAAGCCCCAGTAGATAGTTGTATGCCATAGTTGCACATCCTTCTAGTTGCTGTATGTGGGATGCGGCCTCAGCATGGCCGGAGAAGCAGTGCGTCGGTGCACGCCTGGGATCCGAACCCAGGCCGCCAGCAGCGGAGCGTGCAAACTTAACCACTAAGCCACGGGGCCGGCCCTGTCCTTGTCTCTTTAAGTGACTGTCTTTCTCCTCAGACTGTGAGCTTCTTGAAGGCAGGGCCTGTTTCCCACCTCACGTCCCGAGGAGCTGGCAGTCCCTGGCACACAAGGGGCCTCCAGTTTGCTGTCTGAGGGCAGGACTCAGTAGCCTGGTCACATGGGGCAAGAGGAATTCACAGCTGTTGCTCCACAGCAAGAGATGGCAGGGCAGCCTTGATCTGGAAAATGACCTTCAGTATGGGTGGGTGTGAGAAAAAGCCTGGTTTTGAGTCTGAATTTGAGGCCTTCCCCATAGAAATGGTGGCCATTTAAACACACGACAAAAGTGCTTAATAGGGCTGGTGGCGTAGCAGATAAGTTTGCGCTCCGCTTCAGTGGCCCTGGGTTTACAGGTTCGAATCCCGGGTGTGGACCTATGCACCGCTCATCAAGCCATGCTGTGGTGGCATCCCACATACAAAATAGAGGACGATGGGTACAAATGTTAGCTCAGGGCCAATCTTCCTCAGCAAAAAGAGGAAGATTGGCAATAGATGTTAGCTCAGAGCCAATATTCCTTACCAAAGGAAAAAAAAAAACAGAAGTGCTTAATAAAATACCTATTTTTTTTTCTTTTGCTTGACATGCACATGTTATGTAAAGTTCAACCAACAATTACTGAACACTTGTGCTGACCCTTGAGATTCCACAGTGAAAAAGCCACAGTCCGTGCGTTCCTGGAGCTCACAGTCCAGGGGAAGGGCCCAGTGAGACCCACCTACATACTTTGGGAAAATGCCAGGCTGCCCAGGTGACTGTGAGTGGAAGGCTGATCCCTGGCTGATCTGGGGTAATGGTGTAGGTGGAGATCTGTTGTGTCTAGCACCCACTGTTCATAAGTATCCAAGCACATGTTTGGGCTCTCCGTGCACGGAGGGGCGTTCCAGACTAGAAAGCAGCAAACCACACAACTGGTGCAGAGATGATCACTCTGCATTTTGTGGCCTCAGTGATCTATCTTGTGTCCGCCCCTCAGCTCTCCAGAGGGAGCAGGCGTCTGTCTGGGGGGATGAGAACATCCGTTTCCATCAGCCCCACTGCACGCCTGCTGAGGCGTTGGACTGCAGCCTCTCACCGGCCTCTGCTCTGCAGCCCCTGCAGCTCCGGGAGCCGCTGCACTCCCTCCTGCTGGCCATGTGTGAAGACCAGCCCTGCAGGCGGCTGCCACTGCAGGCCGTTCTGGACGCGTGTCGGCTTCATCAGGAAGAAGTGGCCGTCTACCCAGCCTCTGCCAGTCTCCACGTCAGACGGCTGGTCGGCTTGGTTCTGGGCGCCGTCTCTGAGGTCAGTGTAGATCTGTGCTTTCCAGCCCAGGAGCCACGTGTAGCTGTTGAAGTAGCTAAGTTATAGTTAATAAAAATGAAATGAAGTTAAAAATTCAATTCCTCAGTCACATCTGCCACAGTTCAAGTGCTCGGTCGCCATACGTAGCTGGTAATGACCACATTGGACAGGTCATATCTAGAACATTCCTGTCGTTACAGTGCTATTGGGCAGTGCTGGCGAAGACCTTCGGGCAAGCCCAGGTTTCTAATGGGGTGAAGGCCCTTGGGATCTCTGGAAGAGTCTCTTTCCATATAAGCAATCATGTTTATAACCCATGAGTCAGTGCCCCTCTAAAAATTCAGCTCTAGAGCCAGCCCTGATGGTTGAAGGCTCCCAGGAAGGGGGGAGTGATGGAAGGAGGACAGGATGGGGGACAGGCTGAGCAAGGAGGTGGTCTCGGGTGGGGACAGCCTCAGCCTGATCCCACAGGGAGCTCGGGAGCAGGAATTGCACTGGAGCTGGTGCCCCTTGAGGCCAGGGCAGCGCTGGGACTAGGGTGAGGCGAGTGAGGTGCCCGTGGTACAAATGCAAGGGGTTTGCATGTTAGAGGAAGCAACCACTAGAGCAGCCTAGTGGTTGAAGCTCAGCGCTCACCAATTCAGCAGCCTGGGTTCATTTCCTGGTCGCGGAACCACACACCCATCTGTCAGTAGCTGTGCTGTGACGGTGGCTCATATAGAAGAACTAGAAGGACTTAACACCTAGATATACAAGCGTGTGCTGGGGCTTTGGGGAGAAAAAAAAAAAAAAGAGGAAGATTGGCAACAGATGTTAGCTCAGGGGGAATCTTTCCCTGCCAAAAAAAAAAAAAAAAATTCAACTCTAGGCCTCACACAAGAAGCCTTCTCTGACAGAGCCTACACGGCTCCTTCCCTGGCCCCTCCCTCCCCTCTGCTATCCTGTATCTGCAGAGGGGCCGCTTGTTGTGCTTGTCACACTGTCTGCTTGCTGCCCTGTGCCCTCCCCAGTGCCCAGCAAGGGGCCCGGCATGTGGTAGGCATTGGCTCAGGTCAGGTCCCTTGAAGCAGAGCCAGAGACGAGGGTGCCTATGCCAGTGACGTATCAGGGAAGTGCTCCCGGGAGGGGGCGAGTGATGGAAGGAGGACAGGATGGGGGACAGGCTGAGCAAGGAGGTGGTCTCAGGTGGGGACAGCCTCAGCCTGATCCCACAGGGAGCTCGGGAGCAGGAATTGCACTGGAGCTGGTGCCCCTTGAGGCCAGGGCAGCACTGGGACTAGGGTGAGGCGAGTGAGGTGCCCGTGGTACAAATGCAAGGGGTTTGCATGTTAGAGGAAGCAGAGGGAGACCAGGCTGGAGAGCGGCTGGGCGGCTGCTGCGCTCGCCCGGGGCCAGGTTGGAGAACTGAGACCAAGGCTAACACAGGGTCCATGTAGATGGAGAGGAGTGGATAGCTGAGGGGACGCTGCCAGCGGTCAATCAGAAAGTGCCTGTCCCCTCCTGTCCTCCTTCTCAGACCCCTTCTCTCCTGGTGTGTGAGCCTGTTGCTCCTATTCATTGAGCTAGAGGATTGGGTGGGGAAGGAGGGGTCCATTTGTCTGAAAGACATTAGTGCCTACCATCCATTGGTGTGTCGCTGTCCCCTGATGGACACTGCATTGACCCTCAGTGTTTCCATCAGGAGCCCATAAAGTAGGTTTGGTCACTCATTCGACATTCACTGGGGCGCAGAGCTGGATGAGCTACGATGGTGCGTGAAGCGCACGGTGAGGTGTGGGAGACAGAAAGTGAGCAAACATGGTGTCAGGTGGCGTCACAGAGGGCGGCATGGGAGGAGTGACGAGGGGGAGGATGCGAGGCATTTATATCTGCCTGGAGCACGGAGGTGGAGGACTGGAAGTAGGGAGGATGTAGCTCTGGGTCCTGGAGGCCCAGCGGAGCTTACAGGGAGAGCCTGGCCCGTGGGGGGAGTGCACAAGCAGAGGCACAGGTGGGCATGAGTGCACAGGAGTTGAGGGGCATGGATGACCCCAGGGCACCTCCTGGCTCCTAGAGGATGCATGGTGAGGCTTGCCCTGTGCAGGACACACGTTCCACACTAACTTAAACTGACAGCCAGCCTGTGTTTGTCTATATAAATGCCCCTCCCGACCTTGGGACACGGATATGTGGTGCACTTGACCTTCAGGGGGAGAGGAAGGTGGTGGAAGAGAGCTCCTCTACACAGCAGGACAGAAGCTACCTGCTCAGGACCAGGCTGCACCAGGCGAGCTTTGAGAGCCCGGCGGCTCGGGCCCCGGAGGACCTGCATCCCAGCAGAGGTAGGTGTGGCCCGAGCGTTCCCCAGGGGGGCCGAGGGTGCCTTCCACTTCTTCCTGCCCCGGTGGGCCAGATGTCCACGCTGTGGTGGCAGAGAACCCGTGCCAAGTCCACTCTTCCGGGACGCCCCTGCAGAGAACTGAGTTTAGGCTTCTTCTGTGTTCTGGGGAAAGCTCCAATTTAACAGGTTGTTTATATAAAAGGTGAACTCTTTTTCGTTGAGTTCTAACTGTCCAAGTTGATAAAACAAATTAAAGCAAATAACATTAAAGAAAAACTTTCCTTTAATCGGTTTCTAGGTGGAGCAAGAGGAAAAGTAACTTGTAAAAGATTGTTCTTGTTGTTGCTCTAGGAGTGTTGACAGAATGGCTTTTAGAATAAGCTTCAAATCTTCTACTGTTCTCTACTTTTCACCTGAATCTGAGATTTAAAAAAATAAGTGTTAGTTTGCTGTCCCTAAAACAAGGTACTCTTTGCTGTTAGACTTTATCTTCCCCCCTAAAACCTCCCCTAACCCTCTGTAACCATCCGTCTTGTTTCCGTTTTGTACATGAGAAAACAGACTCAGAGAGGTCAAGTAATTTTGCCAAGGTCGCACAGCCAGTATGTCGTGATGCTGAAATTCCAGGCTGTCTGATTCAAGAAAGCCCTGCTCTTTGCCTCTGCCCCTGTCCCCCACCATGCTGTTTGGTTAGTTTCAGAGAGAAGCACAGAGACCCAGAGTTCCCTGGAGCCTGGTCTGAGTGCCTCAGCACACAGTCGCTGCAACATCTCCAACAGGTAAGCAGCAAGTGGTACGGGCTGTGAACTTGGGGTGGGACATTGGTGTGGGGGTTGCTGTATCCTGCTTCTTTACTGATTGCTGAGGAGTAGCCTCTTGCTTCTCCAGAAGAAGCCGACCCCATCCCATTAGCGGGTGAAAAGGCCACATTTAAGCAGATATGAAGCCAAGATGATGAGGGGCCTGATGGCAGCTGTGCTGTCAGGGCATTCTGTTTCCTCTGGACACCAAGTGCGGGCCTACTTATGGAATCAGGCTCGTGATTATCTATTGTCACATGAGGCTGCATAACAAACGACCACAAGACACAGTGGCTGGAAACAGTGTTTTCTTTAGCTCTGGGTTCTGTGAGTTGGGAATTTAGGCTGTGCTCAGCTGGCAAGCTCTTCTGGACTCTGCTGGATGCCCTGGTGCATCTGCGATTGGCTGTAACTCATGTAGGCATCTTAGCTTCGGGGGGAGGCTGGCTGTCTGCGGGAGCCCTGGCTCTTCTCTACCAGCAGGCTAACCCGAGACTGTTCTCCCGACAGTGGTGGAGTTGAGAGAGAGGGAGACAGAAAGGGCGAGGTGGGGGGACACAGAACCTCCAGAACAGCCCTCCACCACTTGCACCTCATCCCATTGGCCACATCGAGCCCCGAGGCCAGCGCAGGTTCCAGGGGCGGGGAAATAGACTGCATCTCCTGATGGGAGTTGGGGCAAAGTCAACTGCAAAGGGCAGGGATCAGGGAGCAGAACTCTGCTTATTTTGCAATCAGTCTAACATAAATGCTTAAATCTGCGCAAAACCCACACGGGCTCATGTCTTCCTGGTCCCGGTGCCTTGGGCATTTTGAAGCCTGGGTGTTTATTTATTTACGTATTGATTTGTTGAGGGCTGTGACAGTGTCTTGTCCCTCCACGATTCAGCCAAAGGCTGTGGCCATACTTGGTATCAAATACACAGCTGGGGCCTCCACTGGATGCTGTACAGTTTGCCTCACAGTGATTTTTCCTGCCATTCAAAACTCTATTTTCTATTTTCCCAATGAAAATAGGTTTATTTTTTTTCTTATTGCATAAACAATGTATGTTATTGTCAAAACATTTTGGGGCTGGCCCCGTGGCTTAGCGGTTAAGTGCGTGCGCTCCGCTACTGGCGGCCCGGGGTTCAGATCCTGGGCGCACACCAACGCACCGCTTCTCCAGCCGTGCTGAGGCCACGTCCCACATACAGCAACTAGACCACTATGACATACAACTCTCTGCTGGGGCTTTGGGGGAGGAAAAAAAAAGGAGGAGGATTGGCAATAGATGTTAGCGCAGAGCTGGTCTTCGTCAGCAAAAAGAGGAGGATTGGCATGGAAGTTAGCTCAGGGCTTATCTTCCTCACAAAAAAACAAACAAAAAAACCCATTTTGAACGATATCTAAAATTCTAAGGAAGAAAGTCAGAACCCCCTGCAACCCCATTGGCTGCTCCAGGGTGTTCAGGACCTGGGGTCGCAGGACCTGCCTGTCCTGAGCATGGTGAGCAGAGGGTCCTGGTGGGGAAGAGGCGACTATGGCCTTGCCCTCAAACCCCACCCCAGCTCTGCAGCTGTGCAGCCTTAGTCGCCTCATTTGGAGAGTGGGTAGGCACGGGGTGAAGATGAAGTGGTGGCTACAGCCTTCCCCGTCCAGCTGAGCCCCTGCAGGCGGTGGGCCTCTCCTACATGCAAGCCGCTTCCACTGTTAACCCTTTCTCCCCCTCTCTGACTGCTGGCCAGCACTCTTCCTGTTGAAGCTTCCCAGAACCTACAGGAGGGCGGGCGGCTCAGCTCCGGATCGGCTCTCTCTGTGGCAGCAGAAAACTCACGGCCGGCAACTCCTTCCCAAAGGAGTTTCCTGCAGAAAAAGGGAAAGGTGAGCAAAAGAGGACCGAAGGACACTCCTAGAAGAGGTTTGAGCGGGGAGCTGGGGGTGGCCGCCGCAGCAGCTGAAATGGGCAGGGTCCTCTTGGGGGGCCATGCTCCCTGGGCTGAGATTTCTAGAATTGGACAATATAAACCTGAAATTTGCAATTTCAGGGCAGCAGGCGTTTATTGAGTGGCCTTGCTGCAGTAGATGCTGTGCGGGATAGGAGGTTGGAGAGGCCAGGTCCCACCCTGCAGGAAGTTGAGAGCCACTGCTGTGGGGTGGTGGGAGAGCTGACAAGGCTGAGTGTACTTGGAAGGGGCCTTCGGAGTGGACGAAACGCAGGAGCAAACATATAGCTGGGACAGACAGGGAGCAGAGAGTCTCCATTCTGACTGGTACATAAGGTAATAGGGTTTGGGTGCGTGTGGGGAGTGAGGCTAGGGAGCAGCCAGGCCGCCTGCCCCAGCCATCAAGTCCAGGCTGACAAGAGGGGCGGATATTCAGTGGCCCCTGCAGTGTGCACATGTCCGGGGACCCCCGACTCCTTGCAGGCAGGCTGGTCTCTGCTGAGGAGCCAGTTTGCTAAGCCTGTGCTGGTGGGTGAGATTGGGGTGGTTCCAGGATGCGCCTTCTGCAGAAACAGCCCTCGGAGGGTGCTAGCCGTCAGAGCCACTTCCGGTGTTTAGAAAAAACCACCCCTCCCTCAGCACATGATACTGCCATTAGCTGGAAGCCTGTTTTAATAACCACACAGGCCCGCAGTGACCGCGAGGGGATTGGCAACCCTGGAGCCCCTCCTGGGCAGGCTGCTCACTGGGGATGCTGCCTCTGCCGGGCCTTCTGTCCGAGCATCCGGGCCCTTTGGGAATGTCACACCCAGATGCCTCCAGAAGGCCTTTGTCTGTCTGCCTGTCACACAGAGATTTGCTTCAAGCTCCTCCATAAACTAGAGCTGAGCTGAGCCTGGAGCAGCCTCAGGACATCCTCCTTCCGTGTGGCTCTGGGCTCCCGCCCTCCCTGCTGGCCCCTGCTGGCCTCTGAGACCACTCTCAGGTCCTCATGAGCTTGGGGGGCCGGAGACGGGGTCCTGGAGGCCTTATTCACCTTCTCTGGCTTTTCTTCTTGATCATTCGCTAAAGATGCTTCTATTGCGGACTCTCAGGTCGTGAGTCGCCCCCAGGCTGGACTTTGGGCCTCTTGAGACAGCAGTCCTGCCAGGCACCTTTGGGGGCCCGCCCAATCCTGTCACTCTCTCGTGTTGGATTTGGGAGAGTTTCTTAGCTTCTCGGAGCCTCAATTTCCTGCAAAATGGGCTGAGAATATGCACCCTACAGGTTGATGGCAGGGTCTAAATAGTGATGGGTATTAGAGTATTCCTGGATCACAAGTGTGATACGAACATGAAGTATTGTAAAATTGAAAATAGCTGCCCACGATGCTGTTGATTCTACATCCAGAGCTAGAAAAACGGTACATCTAATCTAAACCTAAAGATAATTTTTTTAAAAAAATCTTATTGCATAAAATATATATTTGTACTATATAATGTGTTTTATAATTTTGATACCTACAAAAGTTGTGTGAATTATGAAACTCATAATGAAGTGGACACCAAACTCAAGCACTAGAACATGGCCAAAACCACCATACCCCCTTGTAAGGCTTCTGCTTTGAGCTGCCCCTCTAGCTGGGGCCTCAGCCCAGTTCAGCTCCATTTTGCTGAAACCTGTTTCCTGCTGCTTTAGGGATGGAGTGCTTGTGCGGGAGGAGGGAGGGGAGCCCATGGGGAAACCCAGTCTCAAAGCTAGTGGTCTAGCCCCACAGAACGTGACTTCTCTACCGTGAGTGACTCTGCGCGTTTCCCCAGTTCTCCAGGCCGGAGTTTGTCCTGCTGGCTCGAGAGGCCCCGGTGACGTTGCACCTGCCTGGATCCGTTGTGGTAACTGCTGGGTTAGACGGGGCAGGAGTGGAGGGTGGCAAGGGAACTGCCCAGCTGGGCAGGCCCAGAGGCGGCCTGAGCTCTGACGAGGGTCTCAGGCTGGGAGGGCCCTGGGGGTGCTCACCTTCTTCTCCAGACTCCTGCCACAGCCCTCTGCCAGGTCACACTCCCGTGCACATCCTTCAGCACTTCCCCGCCCCTTTGAGAGGAGCCCTCTGTGACCTCTGGCTAAATCCTGCTTGTCCTTCCAGACTCAGCTCAGCCTTCGTCTCCTCATTCAGTTAGGAAATCTTGTTTAAGCATCAAGTAGGTGCCAGGCACTGCTCCAGACCCCAGATCTGTGATGTGAACAAAACAGAGTTCTTTTTGCCTGGAGCTCACATTCTAGCATTTATGCATTTGTCTGTTTTCTGGGGTGGAACAGTCAGTCTCCCTTCCCTCAGCTCTGCTGCCCCAGCCCAGGCAGACCGCAGACCCCCAAGGGGTTGCAACCTCTGTATGGAGAGGCACTCAGTTCCTGGATTGGGAGTGAGTGACAGGCTTGTCCCTGCTGAGTTGCCCGCAGAAAGAGCTTTGGTGCTGTCGGCCCAGAGCGGGGGCAGCCCTGCCATGCCCTGCTCTGGGATGTCCGTGTGCCTGACTGGGACCCTTCCTGAGCCAGCCCCCTGCAGCGGAGGGGAATGACAGTGGAATAGGAGCAGGCGGCCAGAAGGGTGGCAGAAGTCGAAGGGTGGAGAAGGGGAGAGGGAGGTGGGGCGGGGCCCGGGGCACTTGGCAGCAGAGGAGTTGGCAGCCAGAACTCATCGCCAGAGATGAGGAGGCAGGCCCACTGTGAGCTGAAGGTGCATGTGCATGTTGCATTGTCCCACTGGACCGCACTGTGAAAACACACATTCAAAGATACAATTACTGTACTCAGAATTTCAAGAGGGCAACTGCAGAGCATTAAACCCAAGCACAGCGCCCTTCAGAGCCCATGGGGTGGCCCCCACACCTCTTTGTCTCTCTCAGGGGTGGCCCCTCACTGCTGTGAGACAACCCCTCAGTTGTGCAGGTGTGCAAGTGTGCAGCAGGGTTGGAGCCAGGGTGGCTCAGAGCATGCCGTGTGATCAGCTCTGCCAGGGATCGTGTGGGAATTCCTCCCATGGGGTCCTCAGATCTGCACTGGCCCCGGCAGTTGGGGGCTGCCCCTGGGTGTCCAGAGGGTCAGCGTGTGGCCGCAGGCATCGTCTCCATGGCACTAGAACCACACGCACCAGTGTCCATCCACGGCTGTCCTCTAAGGAGGAATTCCTTGGGGAGGTCTAGGCCAGGCCCCAGGCTGGGCATTGAGGCACAAGGTTCTGGGAGCAGAGAAGGGAGTGGGTGGCTCGACCCTTCAGGCCACAGACAAGGGTCCTGAGCCCACCTGGAAGACTCTTAGGAATTTGCCTTGAGGAGAAGGAGGGTAAGAGCATGCCAGGCAGTGGGCAGTGTGTGTAGAGACATGGGCAGACGAGCCCGTGTGGTGGTGGAATGGTGGGCCTGTCTGGGCTGCTGAGCCGAGGCCACAGTGATCGGAATGGGGTTGAGGTGGCAGATGAGTCTGGCATTAATCTGAGCAGGATGAAGAGGCAGAAGGCAGACTGCTATGCATCTATTTCTCGATTCGAAGTAATCCCCTTAGCTCCAGCCCTCTCCGCTCTCTGTGCCAGCCCAAATTCTCTCCGCTGTGCTCTGTGGGGGCCTGGGGGGACAGTATCAGGTTGCCTACACCCTGGGAGTGTATGATTCGTTGGTGAAGGCCCTGGGTAGTCCTCTTGGGAAGCAGAGCCCAAGGGACAGCTGGGGTTTCTGCAGGCGAAAGACATCAGTTAGACCTGCCTGCCAGCTCTCCTGGCCCCCCAGAGCCTGGCAGAGAGTGAAGATTTGAGTCCGATTCTACCTCTTACTAACTGTGCAACTGTGGGCAAGTCCCTTACCATCTCTGAGCCTCGTTTCTCATCTGCTGAATAGGAATCATGACCATTCTTATCTCTTAGGGTTGTTTGTCAGTTAAATGAGACAAGGCATATAAAATATGTAGCATAGTAGCTAGACCAGGCTAAAGACTCCATGTCCCGTAGTTATTGTTACAACTGATACTATTATTGTTTTCAGACCAAAAAAGGGAAATCCTATTTGGCTCTCAGGGACCTTTCTGTGGTACTGCTGAGCGGGCAGTGTCTGGAGGTGAAATGTGACATCACGTCGACAGCGGGGTCTGTCTTCAATGCTGTCATGTCCTTTGCCAACCTTGGGGAGCTCACCTACTTTGGCTTGGCTTACGTGAGAGGTAAGTGTCTCCTGGGTAGCCCACGGCTGGCCTGGTGCCTCAGGTGACCCGGGTATCTAGGTATCTGAGCACTATTCCTTCTAAAATAACTGCTGGCGACTGGGACGCCTCACCTTGCACACTTAGACATTGACGTGGTGAAGGCTTCAAGTGGTCATGTGCATAGTGTCAAGTCAGTGCAGGAGACTGTAATAAAATGGTGCATGGAAGATGTGGGTTTCTGTGAGTCACTGGGTTTGGTTGATCAATTTCAGTGCATTGAAGTCAGACTGGCAAATGTTAAAAACATTTCCATCTAGGTGGGAATATAGAACGGTACAGCCACAGTGGAAAACTATGGCCGTTCCTCAAAAAATTAAAAATAGATTTGCCATATAAGCCAGTGATTCCACTTTTGCATACATACCCAAAATAATTGAAAGCAGGGTCTCGGAGAGAGAGTTGTACACCCATGTTTGTAGCAGCATTATTCATAATAGCTAAAATGTGGAAGCTACCCAAATGTCCACTGACACGTGAATGGATAAGCAAAATGTGGTATATACATACAATGGAATATTTTCAACCTTAAAAGGGAAGGAAATTCTGACATATGCTACAACATGGATGAACCTTGAGGACATTGGGCTAAGTGAAATAAACCAGTTGCAAAAAGACAAATGCTGTATGATTCCACTTATGTAAGGTACCTAGAGTTGTCAAATTTATAGAGACAGAAAGTAGAATGGTGGTTTCCAGGGGCTAGGTGCAGGAAGAATGGGAGTTATTATTGAATGGGTACAGAGTTGCAGTTTTGCAAGACCAAAAGAATTCTGGAGGATGGTGGTGATGGCTGCACAACAATGTGAATGTACTTAATACGCTGAACTATATGCTTAACAATGGTTAAGATGGTAAATTTTATGTGTATTTTACCACAATGAAAAAATTAAAGAAATTTTTCCATCTAATCATATAGGACTAATGGGAAATCAGCACCCACACCCCAGGAGCCTAAATTAAGAATCCCTTCTGAAGATCCTGAAGGAAAGAGTTTCTGCATCTTCTTTCCATCTTTGCCCGTCCGTGAAGGGACTCTATTTCCATCTTTGCTGTAGTCAAAGCTCTTTAACCACTGTGTAGAGTAATGGGAAGGAGGCCATGTTGGGATCATACAGGCCTTCAGGTTAAATCCTGGATCTACCAGCCCACGTTGCTTAGGTGTCATAATCTCGCTTTTCCTCTGTTCTTCCTCCCCAATGGGAGAAGCTCACAAGCTTATTGTGGGATCATTCCGTGTGCCACGGGGGTAGGGTGTGTCCTTATCTCCCCATAGTTCTCAGCAGACCTCCGAAGGATCTCTCTCCCAAGCAGAAAGAACAAGCCTTATACGCTTAGATGTGATCTGTTGATGTTTGCTCAATCTTTTGTAAAGTGTAAATAGAAGAATCTTTAGGAAACATTGGATTTTTATTGATCTACAACATGCAATCTAAATGAAACCAGTGTGCCTGCTCTAGGGGTACAGCCTTGAGGCTTACGCTCTCCTACCTCCCCCAAGTCAGGTCCCGCCCTGCACCCCTCCTAGGTGGACATCCTAGAGCCACTCAGCTGGGGCCTCCTGGGTAAATCACTCAAAAGTGACCAGTCTGGGGTTTGAATATAAACCTACTTGGGAGGGCTTGCCAGCCAAACTGTAGTGGGGACCTGCCCATCCCTTGGGGAGAAGTGGCCTTAAGTGAAGTGGGGTGTGGGGAGTCAGATTCAGCAGCGAGGGCTGAGGGCGCAGGGGGCAGATGTCTGGGCACTGTGTGGTGACTCCCATTTGAACCACTCTGGACACCTCCTTCCCTCTCCCCAGCATGCATATGCCTCTGGGAAAAAAGGCTGGTTCCCCATTTAAAAGCTTTGCCTTCCAAAACTTGGCGTGACTCCTGTGCCGGGCAACCTGCTAGAGAGTGTCTCTGGGCGGAGAGGGTGGAGTGTGGTGAAGGGCGTGGGGCAGAGCACGGCTGGGGTAGACCTGCAGGGGTCCCAGGGGGAGTGGCCTGGCAGGGAGGAGGTCAAGCTTTGCCTTAAAGAGAGCAAGGGGTGGAGGCGGTGCCTTCAGTGGCTGGGCTCATTCAATCTCCCTCCCGGAAGTGCTAGAGGACAAACTCAATGGGAGTTGAAGTCCTGAGCTTGGACTGGTGGAGTTTTCAAGCTGGCAACCTTCAGGTGAAAAGACAAAGGTGACTCCACTTATGCCCTGCTCAGTCTGCTCGGGCTGCTGTAACAATATGCCGTAGGCTGAGTGGTTTCAACAACAGACATTTATTTCTTACAGTTCTGGAGGCTGGGAAGTCCAAGATCAGGGTTGAGCATGGTCAGGTTCTTGGTGGGGGGTCTCCTCCTGGCTTGCGGACAGCCATCTTCTCACTGTGTCCTCACATAGCAGAGAGAGCAAGCTCTGGTCTCTTCTTATCACATTAATCTCACCTAAACCTAATTACCGCCCAAAAGTCCCACCTCCACATATCATCACACGGGGGTTAGGGCTTCAATATATGAATTTGGCGGGGACACAAACATTCAGTCCATATCATGCCTATGCCTGGGGAGGCTTGGGATGGTCCAGTTGATGCAGAACGCTTGGCCCATGGCAGGATTGGAATACTCATTCCTCTGTTTTTCATTTTGTCTCCATAAGATGGCAGCTGGAAGGCAGATATTAAGTAATATCCTCTCTAAGATAAATAACCACATTTCCTCCTCTTGGTGCTGATTTCTCTTCTCGCCCCTCTCCTCTTTGTCTCCTGTTCTTGGCCCCTCACAAGCCGTGGTGGCAGGTATCCGGAGGACTTTCTTCCTGCTCTCTCCTGCACTCAGATGGCTCCTGTCTGACCCTTCTGGCCAGGCTCAGGGCTGTGGGTCTGAGGGCTGGTGCCTGCCCAGCTGCTTTTCCCTCCAGGCGCTCTCTACTTCCATTCCAGGCAACGAGTTCTTTTTCCTGGACACCGAAACCAGGTTGTGCAAGATAGCCCCCGAAGGCTGGAGTGAGCAGCCCCGGAAGAAGACCTCCTCGAATACTCTCACACTCTTTCTGAGGATCAAGTTCTTTGTCGGTCACCGTGGGCTGCTCCAGTGAGTGCTGCAGACCTGTCCTTTGTTCCTTCAGCCTTTATGTGTGTCCAGGCTGACGTTAGAGATAGTGGATAGGAAGTGCTTGGGGAACTGTAAATTATGTATGAATAACAACAGTTATTGTGGTTGATCTTGTTGATTGGATTCCAATATGACAGAAAAGGGGGAAAAAGCAGTGGTTGGGGGCAGGCCCTAGACAAAACAAGAACTTGCCCTTTTGTTTCGTATATACTCCACTTGAGGTCAAAGTACCCCCCCACCCCCACCCCAGTGTGCCCCTCCCGCAGCAGCCCAGGGACGAGGGCGGGAGGAGAGATGGGGTCAAGACTTTGGAGTTGGATCCGTGCCTCTTCATTCCTTTGCTTACTAAAAACACCATCTAACTGAGTATCAGTTTTCTCACTTGAACCACAGCAGCAAACGTCTCCATGGTGTTGTATGAAGTGGCAGGAGGCATGGTGTGGATGAAGGAGACCACCCTTGTCTCACTGGCATCTTCCTCTGGGTTCTGTTGGGTCGTGTCCCGTCTCCTTTTCTCTCCCCGCTTCCCAGACTGAGAAAACCCTCTGGCTTTAGTGTTCTCCCTCCCCCTCAGCAGTCCAGTGGCCTTTATTCCTGCATTTCTTTTCCAGGCAGAGCCGGACAAGACATCAATTTTACCTGCAGCTTCGAAAAGACATCCTGGAGGAGAAGCTGTACTGCAATGATGAGACGCTGCTGCAGCTGGGTGTCCTCGCCTTGCAGGCCGAGTTTGGCAATTACCCTGAGGAGGTAGGGGTGGAAACCTGGGGCCCTTGGTGGAGTCACCAGAGAAGCAGTTATGGGACAGGGGGGAACTGTTAGAAATGTGGAGAGTGAGCCTTTGAGAAGTGTTGTTAGCACCTACCACTGAGGTGGGGTAAACTGCATCCATCCATCCATCCATCCTTCCATCCATCCATCCATCCATCCATCCATCCATCCATCCAACAGCATTCATTGAGCGCTCTTTGCTAGGCTCTGGGGGATACAAAGATGAACCAGTCAAGTTTATACATTGTAATGTAGTTCTAATCTAAGGTCCCTCCTAAAAACAGTAACTTACTAATATATTGAGTTCCTGTCATTATCATCATCATCTTTATCATCATCATCATCAATAGCAATAGCCAACCTTTATTAAAAGATCACTCTGTACCTGTCATCGAGCTAGACATTTTCCACAGTGTTAACTCACTTAACCTTCACAGCAACATTGCAAGGCAGATACTATTACTCACATTTTCTAGAAAAGCGATGTGAGACCCATGTAGCTAGAAAATGGTAAAGTCTAAATTTGAGCCCAGGTGTGTCTGACTCCGGGGCCAGTGCTGATTCTGCTGGACACACTGCATCTCAAGTGGCCGCTCTAAGCTTGTTGGCCAAGCCCTTGTTCCTGGAGCAGAGTCACGTGTAAGTTTCTTTAATTTAGTTTGCCTGTCATGGTCCTGTGTTATAGTCCTCAGGGAGTTAGTAGAGGTTATTTAATTTGCAGATGCATCAAAGGAGGGAGAGATGATGCTAATATGTTTATTTACTTAATTAGGATTCAAAATGGGGATGCCAGGCAGGAAGGAGGGATCCACCAGGTGAGCTGTGACAGAGAGCAGTGCAGTTTTGCTCTTGGGTTCATGAAGCCCCTCACCAATGTTCAAGATGAGGGGCCAGGCGCTTGGCAACAGACCTCAACAGAGACTGAGCAGTGTAACCCAGCAGTGGGACATGGCATCCAAATGTGGAGCTCGTCTCTGGCTACATCAGTAGAAGCAGAGAGGGAAGAGCCAGGGAGGTGAGGGTGCCGCTGATCCTTCCCAGGTGACCTCCCAGCCAGCCACTGGGCTTTATCTTGGAAGGCATCCCCACTGTCATATGACAAACACTGGGTCTTCTGGGGAGTGCTTCACTTGGGAGAGAAATGCTCTAGAGAGGACATGAGAGCTGTGTGAAGGAGGAATCTACTGATCAAAAGAGAAAATGAAAAGGTCTAATCCCTATGTCCTTGGGCCTGTGAATGCTTTCCCAGCCGTGTCTGCACGTCCATCCCAATCTCGCCCACCCTCCAAGACCAACCCCAACCCCACAGCTTTCCTGGACTCCCCACAAGTGGAAATAAACTCTCCCTCCACCCTCTGGACCCTTTTGAACATCTCCCCGGCACCCCTTGGCCAGGACACGTGATTACTCAGCAGAAAAGCAAGCTCAGATTGGCTTGAATAAAACATGTCATTTACTGGCTTGCAAAATTGAGGTGTCTAGGCCCTCCTGCCCCTTTGACAAGCCTCTGGGCCTATCATTGCTTTCTTTGTAGCTTCTTCCTCTCTCCTCGGCCCCCAGGGCTGGGGTCCTAACCATGCCTAGGGCTTGCTGGGGGCAGAGACTCAAAGACATCAGCAGGACTTGGGCTGCCTCGTTTCTGGACTGTGTGCTCTCCTCAGTCAGGTTTGCCTTCAGCAGCTTCTGGATTCCACCCTCTGGGTTGTAGCCCAACACCAAAAGCAGAGTCCCTCTCAGTCATGCCATGGAAATCCTGGGGGTCTGTGTCATTGGTTCTGATAGAGTCATGTGCCCACCCTGAGCCAATCACTGTGCAGGGAAATTCCGTGTTCTGATTGGTTGGACTTGATTCACATGGCCACCCTAGGAACCAGGGGTAGAGCTTACACTGTGCAAAATGCATGGACTGGGAGAGAGGAGCGATGGTTGCCATTTCCAGCAAGAAAGGGAATGTTTGCACATGGCCAAAAATATATGTCCACCACCAGTGGGTACATATTGGTCAGTAATGCTACATCCTTGGTGAACAAGGAGATGCATTAGGCTGAAGTTCTGAGTCTGCTGGGTCATCTGGGTCTGGCCTTGCGTTATAGTTGAATTGTGTCCCCCAAAATTCATGTGTTGAAGCCCTGACCCCCAGTACCTCAGAATGTGACTGTACTTGGAGATAGGTGATTAAATTAAAATGAGGCTGTCTGGGTGGGCCCTAATCCAATCTGACTGGAGTCTTTATAAGAAGAGGGGGTTAGGACACATGGAGAGACACTGGGGATGTAGTAGCACAAGGGAAAGACCACGTGAGGACTTGGCGAGAAGGTGGCACCTGCAAACCAAGGAGAGAGACCTCAGAAGAAACCAACCCCGCTGACACCCTGATCTTGGACTTCCAGCTTCCAGAACTGTGAGACAATAAATTTCTGTCATTTAAAGCACCCCGTCCATGGTCCTTTGTTATGGTGGCCCCAGCAAACTAATATGCCTTGAGTCTGAGAAGGAGAAGCTGCCGCCCCCGCTGAGTGGGGACGCCTTGGCAGAGGTCTGTGTTCTTAATTCTCAGTGTGGGGTGGAGAGGGCAAAGTGTGGCCTCAGTCACAGTGCCTGCTTCGTCCCCCTAACGGAGTTTAAGAGCCAGGACAAGCTCAAGAGTTAGAATGGTTCTTGAGAGCAGATGCTTTCAAACATTTTGTGCCACGACCTGTGATAAAAAGTGATGGACCTTATAGCCCAGTGCGCACGTGCACACGTACGTGTAACAGAACTGAAGCAAAAGCTTCAGGAGTAAGACGCACCCTTTCTGGATGTGACGCACACTGGTATTTCCTCTTCTGTTCTAGTCAATTCAAAACTGCTGCCCGTGAACCACTAAATTGGTTTCGCAGTTCACTATTGGGTCACAGGCTGCAGTTTGAAAAACACTTTTCAGGCTATACCAGTATCGTCTTGCCTTCCTCCCTGGACATCTTCAGAAGGTGCCACTATGTCTGGAGTCTTCAAAGTCTCTCTCTATCCCCTCACACTGCTGGGTTTCTCTTCACAGCGTTTTTCACTACCAGGTATGTATATTCATTTATTTATCAATCCTATTGTTCTCTCCGTGAGAATGGAATCCCCCTGAGGGGAAAGGTTTTGTCTGCTTTATTCTGCCTCTTCCCGGGCACCAAAGCAGTGCCTGAAACATAGGGAATTTGCTCAAGAGCTTTAGGTCTCAGGAGTGGGTGAATGAATGGAGTGCAGGCTCCTGGACCTGACGGACTGTGGACAAAAGTTACCCTAGGAACTTAGGGTTAGGGTTAGGATCAGGAGCTTGCTTGTCAGGGAACTGTAGCTCAATTCCCAACACCCCCACCCATACTCCCCCACGGCCCCCCGCAGTCCGTGGGGCCTGGGACTTCACTTCCTCCTCCTGGCACCACCCCAGCCTGGGAATGCAGTCTGTCCCAGAGCTGGCCTGGCCCCGGTAACCTCCTCCCTGACCCTTTGACAGGCCTCCAGCCCTGTCACCACTGCTCCTTCTGGGAGCTCCTTCCTGTTTCCTCCACCCGCAGAGCTGGGGTCCTTACCATGCCTGGGCCAGCTCCCTCTTGCTCTCGTGCTGCTACTTCTGGGGGTCTTGGAGGAGAAAGGCCCAGACATTTGGAGGGTGCTCTAAGGCGACCCAGTGCATCAGTTGACATCCTTGCTGCAGTGTCTAGTCCCATCCTGTATGTGGCTCATGTGGACAGGGTAGGGGGGCTTCCAGGGGCAGTGTTAGTTCGTCCTTAGCAGGCTCATGGAGCAGAAGAGTGAGCCTGAGTTTTGGAGTCAGGCGGAACTGGGTCCAAACCCTGCCTCTTTTGGTGGCGATGTGCTTGACCCTGGGCACATTCTCTCTCTGAGCCTCAGCTTTTACGTCTGCAAAATGGAGATAATAGAAGGCCCTCGCAAAGCTGCTGTGAGGGTGGAAGGTGGTAATGCATGTATGGTACCTGGCATGAGCAACTGCTGTTTGCAAACTTCCCTCCCCCTCCCCCATTCTAATTAGAAGTGTTGCTCGTTATCAAACAACCCAAAGACTTACTTTCCGTCTATGGATTCAGACACACAGTCTTATACCTGAGACCCTAAGTAGGGGTTAGAGTTGGGGGAAACTGCAGGCCAGGTACACTGAAGGCAGCTGGGGAGCTGGAGTAAGACCCCTTCTTGAGGCCCAGATCATTCCTATGGGATCAGTTGCCCCAAGGCCCCAGGGGCCCAGATCTGTCTCTAGGCGCCCCATTCTGGCAACCCCCTGCCTGTCCAGTTTCTGACCGACTTTACCTAGCTCCCGCCTCAGTCTCATCCTCTACCTCCAGCTCCTCCCCCGGATCCTGCCCAGCCTCAACCTCTCCCACTGCCCTAGGGCCCAGAGTGGTTCCAAGATGCTCTCTGCTGCTCCCACAGCCAGACCTTTTCTCTTGCTCTTATGTGTGAGTCCTAATTTATGCTCCGTGCTTGGTCTCATCTAAGCCTTACGTCACCCCTGCAGAGCCAGTGTTATTTCCATGTGCAGTTGAGAAAAATGGTGCCTCTGGGAGGTTAGGTGAGCTTGTGAGAGCACAGCCAGGACTCACTTCTAGATCCTGGTTTCGCTCTGTGCCAGGTGTGGTGGACCCATCAAAGGGCGTTAGGGGAGGCTCCGAGAGGAGAGCCCCTCCCTGCGCCTGTGCTGGTGAGTGGGCAGGAGTGGGAGGCCAGCCTGTCCAGGGAGCTGCTGGTGTTTCACTGCAGCCCAGGCTAAAGCAGCTGTCAGCCTGGGCGGGCATACCAGTGAGAAACTTGCTGTGCCCTCCCACAAGGCTAATATTTTGTTTGATAAATCGTTCTGGAGCTGGAAAGAAAAATAATTTGGAAACCACTGTAGTGAAAGATTGGAAGCCACTGAAGAATTCTAAGCAGGGAAGTGACGTGATTACATTTGCATTTTAAAAAGAGAAACAAAGACAGTTTGGTATAAAAATAAGTCTCCTTAATCACATCATTGCAGCAGACTACTTTCCTCTGGGTGCATTCTCTGCCAGTCTTTGACCACATGCGGGGTCTCATCCATTTGTAAACAGTGCCACGCATTCTGCTTTCTCACTGATGGTCTCTGTCTTCCCATGGCCTTCCTAACGATCTCTTGGGGTGACTACAAGTTATGCCGGGGCAGGGCTGGAGCTTCCCTCACTTATCTGTTCTCTCAGTGTCTGGTATCACCCGGAAGTGCCATGGACATTGTAACTACTATTATCGTTCCAATTACTTCTGATCTTTCTTTTTTATAAATGACAGAAATCAATGTCTGTGCTGGAGCTTTTCAGTTCCACGTTCTTCTTCTCTTGGATACCTTCCTAGCGATGAGATGCTGGCTCAAAGGTCCTAAATACTTTTTAAAAATGTTTTAATAGACTTTTTTTTTTAGAGTAGTTTTAGGTTCAGAGCAAAATTGAGTGAAAGGTACAGAGGTTTCCCATATGCCCCCTGCCCCTACACGTGCATAGCCTCCACCACCATCTACATCACCCACTGGAGTGGTACTTTGTTCCAACTGATGAACCTGCATTGACACATCATTATTACCCAGAGTCCAGAGTTTTCTTGGTGTTGTACATTCTATGGGTTTGAACAAATGTACAATGACATGTAGCCACCATTATAATATCATATAGAGCGGTTTCACTGCCTTCAAAATCCTCTGTGCTCCACCTATTCATCCCACCCTCCTCCCTAACCCCTGGCAACCACTGATCTTTTTACTGTCTCCATAGTTTTGCCTTTTCCAGATGTCATATAGTAGCCTTTTCAGATTGGCTTCTTTCACTTAGTAAAATGCATTTAAGTTTCCTCCATGTCTTTTCATGGCTTGACTTTCATGGCTCATTTCTTTGTAGCACTGAATAATATTCCATTGTCTGGATGTAGCACAGTTCATTTATCCATTCACCTACTGAAGGACATCTTTCGCTTCCAAGTGTTGGCAATTATGAATAAAGCTGCTATAAACATCCATGTGCAGGTTTTTGTGTGGATATAAGTTTTCAACTCCTTTGGGTAAATACCAAGGAGTGTAATTGCTGGATCGTACGGTAAGAGTATGTTTAGTTTTGTAAGAAACCAATAAACTGTCTTCCAAACTGGCTGTACCATTTTGCATTCCCACCAGCGATGAATGAGAGTTCCTGTTGCTCCACATCCTCGTCAGCACTTGGTGTTGTCAGTGGTCTGGATTTTGGCCATTCTAATAGCATTCTAAATGCTTTTTTGTGCACTAGATTGCTGAGCAGTTTCTTTCCCTTTGTGTCTCTGAGCTGAGCTCAGCTGGCATGAGCCAGTCCTAGGCTGGAGGTATCTCAGTCCATAGCCACATGGGGACAGGCCTGTGCCACACCGGGAGCATGGGGATGTAGTGGCTGCTGTGCTGTTCCCTTGTGATCCCCTCATCAGGCCAATTCGCCCACTCTGAGCCCTGAGAAGGCCAGGTGCTCCCTGCTCCCTGCTGCCTTCCTCACGGGTAGTCACCCTCAGTTGTGGGGAAATGTCTTGCCCAAGATTAGGCTGGGAGGGGCTGCCTGAGACCAGGAGGGGCTGATTCAGGAATACAGGGCAGGGTAGGCTTCTCGCTCTGCCAAGTGCTGCCTTTTTCATTCCTTACAGTGGACCCTGGCACCACTCCCCCAAAATGTCCGCATACCTCTCTCTGCCCCGGAGTCTGCATCAGGGAACCCAGCATCAGGCAGCGAGTGATGCTGATCTTCCCGCCGCTCCTGTTTCCCTAAAGAGCAGACTTGATGAAGGTTCAGGCCTGGGGCGGGGTGAAGGTGTCAGATCTTCCCTCATTTGGGGAGCTACTTCTTGATCGCCTTCTTGTGGAGACATGGTGCCGCAGCCAAGACCTCCTTGTCGGAGGTGACGGTGTACCAGGAGCATATGTGCACAGAAACGCTAAACGGGTAAAAGGAAACAAAGTTTTAGGGCCAGGGCTTTCTGTGCCTTTTGGGAAGTGTGTGGTATCATGGAATGTGTGAGGGCTTTGGGTGACCAAATCTTGTTTCTGTCACTTATAAGCAGTGTGACCTTAGCCCTGTTGAATGACGTCCTTCCTTGCTCATTTTGTTCGGCTCGGCAATGGCAATAATAATGTCCGCGTAGGATTACTGTAAGGATTGAAAGAGCTGTGTTCTGACGACCACCTGGAGTAGAGAAGGGGCTCAAAAACGGGTGGCTCCTTTCTTCTCTCCCTTCTGTTGATGTCATGTGGTTTGGCCCAACTTCTAATATGGTAGAAAAAGATATCCTAGGTGGGCCCTTCAGAGGAGCATCTTTGCCCTGGGGCCCTAACCTGGGTTTCGACTGCAGACAGACTTCTGTTCTGCTCAGAGCCCTCCAGAGGGTGTCTTGGTCATCCCCTTCTCTTCTGCATCTTATTCCAGCAGGTAGAGAGTAAAGCCTACTTTCGAGTTGAAGATTACATCCCAGCAAGTCTGATTGAGAGAATGACTGCATTCCGGGTCCAAGCCGAAGTCTCAGAGATGCACCGTCTGAGTCCTGTGCTCTGGGGAGAGGATGCTGAGCTGGAGTTCTTGAGGGTGAGGCCTCCGTACCCTTGAGAAGGGGCATTGGTGTTCAAGGCAATGTGGTCAGCAGTCCCCTCCAGAGCCTTCTCTGGGGGCCAGATGTACCCAGACCCATCAGGAGGTATGAGCAAGAGACTTGAGGCTCTTGGAGGAAGGAAGCTCCACTGCCCTGAGGGGCAAGGAGAGGCTTCTGGAAGCAGGCGGCACTGGAAATGATCCCAAAAGATGGGTAGGATTTCGGGGGCTGGGGTGGGTATGCAGGGCCTTTTTCCCACCTTAGAGCTCATAGTCACTTTTCTGTGAGCAGGGAGACCACATTTCTCATAGACGACATACAGGACAATTGAAGGACAAAATTGGAGTGTGAGCCAAAAGCAAAGCCACTGAGAGACTCAAGTTTGCAGCCTTCCAGGCAGCTGTCCTCAGCACAGCACAGATGGTGTGGGCCCTGCATATGGGTGCAGCTCTGCTCTGCTCTCTCCTCAGCCCTCCAGGAAAAGCAGCGGCATTTCAGTCCACTGTGCTTTTGGGCACACCCAGAGCCTCTAGTGAGCTTTGCTCACTCCACAACTTACGCCTGCTGTGGGCCAGGCACCGTGGGGATCGGAGGCAGAAAGGACGTATTCTCTGCCCCCAGGGAGTCCCAAGTCTGGTGGGGAGGACAGACAGGTATGCAAGATGGTGATAGCTGCCCGATGGGAACAATAACAATACCAGGATGGTGTTGTTCCTCTGTGTCAGGATGGGGGGGCATGGCCACTCTGCCCATGCAGGTGGGGCTGTGGGGCTTGGCAGGGGGCATCCTCAGCTTCCCCGGGGTGGGATGCCTGGCTAGCCTTTAGAGTTGGGGAGCAGTTTCAAAAGGAAGCTCGGGGATTTATATTTTTCTCTGTACAAAAGTCTCCCAAGACAGATGGAAATATTCCGTCCATGTTTTCTTGTTTTTAATAGAGATGGGCATTTGACAGCAGAACTGCCAAGGCGAGGTCTGGCCTTATTTTTCGATCAGTCACTTAGAACTGTCTGCAACACCTAGGGCTCTATCAACCTGCAAGCATTTCATTTGAGAAGCCCCAGCAGAAATGTGCTCAGTGCATTCCACAATCCAGCCTTCATGCACGCTCCCTGTCGAGAGGGTGCAGCATTCCCTTGACGAGGGATAAGTGGGGACTTCAAAGCCATCATCACATATCTGATGGAGCATGGCCACAGGGCCACAGAGCCAGCGGAGAGGCCCAGGCCTCGGGCCTGCAGAGGCTCCTGCAGGGCTGATGATGCTCGCCCACCTCTTCCCAGGCCCTGGCTACGTGTGCCGGGCTCGCTGTGTCCCTGCTTCCCATGGTGGTTGTAAAGGAAGTCACCATCTCATAAGCAAAGATGCAGGAGGCTTTTTTTCAGTCTTTGACAGAAAACCCTGAAGAGATTTGATTTCATTTGCATGCAATCTTATCAGTTTCAAGGAACACTGGCTTTCGGTTCCTCCTGGTGGCTGGTTGGGCTTGCTAATGCTGTGTACCGCTGTGGTAGAGACAGGAACTGGAGGGGGTTGGAAACCCCCAGAGCAACGTGACCCTTCTCGTTAGAGTGGGTGTTTGTTAAACAAAGTCTTTTCTTCCATGATTAGAAAGTAACCATTTGCTCATGGTTCTGCCTCCTAGCAATAGCATAGTTACATTTTGGTATATTTATCCTTCTCTCTTTGTTCTGTACATTCACATGTGTATATGCATATGGATTTAAAATCGGGTTTATATTATACATGCAGTTTTCTGTATTTTTATAATCCCATAAAAATCACTATCACTAAAATTTTGAAATTTTATTTTAAATCAACACATGGTGTACCCTAAATTATTTCTCAATACTCTGTTGTTTGGCACATCAACTGTTTTAAATATGGAACTATTTTAGACAATACTGAGATTAGCACTTTTTCTGCATAAGTCTTGAGCTGCATTTATGCTGAATTCTTTAGGGACACTACATTACACACTACATTACAGTCATTTCTGTACATTTCTTGTCCCTTCTACTAGGTTGTAAATGTCGAGAGGGCCCTGAATCCTGAGGGCCCATCACAGAGCCCAGTGACCCCATAAACTATTTTCCCTTCTCCCTACAGTGAGCAGCAAGGTGTAGTCCCTGGATTATTTAATGATAGCCCTTCATGGCTCCTCTTTTCTGTTATCAGATGGTGCCTGTTGGCCTCTGGTTCACTGATGACTAATTTTGCTAGTTCATCATCTCACACTAGAAGGAGACTTGGCAGAAATTCAGTTTGGGTAACACTGGATAACATACTCTGTCTGGAAGATTCACAACTACGTTAGCGTATTAATCCCAGAACAACAGGTTCAAAGTTAACTCAATGTTTTCCAAACTTTCTCAACTATGGAACCGTTTTTCCACATAACCAGGAGTTGAGATAGTCTATTAAAACATTTTCTTTTTTTTCGCTGTTGAAATCATACTGGTTGTATGCTGTATTTTTCCCCACCTAGCATTATAACATATGCATTCCCCAGATAACTACAAATGCTTTGAAAATATCCTTTGTAAAGGCTGCCTGATAAACCCTTTTAAGGCGGTACTGCCTGTAGGAAATCATATACCTCCGGGAGCTAGTCCCCCCAACCCAACCCTGTAAGTCTGCACCGAACATCGCTATGAGAAGTGTTTGTCTTGATTATTCAGTGCATTTTCTTAGGACGGATTCCCAGGAGTGGAATTTTAGGGTCAAAGGATATGAAAGTTGTGAACCTCTTGATGAATATCTGGAAACAATCCATTTGTTCCAACCATTTTCAGTCCAACAAGGGTGCTGCATGGGCCAGGAGCCAGGAGAGCCTGGGTCCAGTCTACACCTTGCTGCTCACTGTAGGGAGAAGGGAAAATAGTTAGACAGCCGTAAGAGCTTGGAGATGAAGTGACCTTTCAGGAGGAAAACCAGCAACAGCCACAAAGAATGGAGGAGGAGAGGGGCCACAGAAGACTCCATAGCAGAGCATGGAGACGTAGATAATGTTACTTATTTTTTTAGGGACTGAAGATGCCCTTGATGACATTACGTATATTCACCCATGTTTCCAGACTTGATAGAAACTCTGTATTTGAGTTGTTAAGATTGAAGACTCAGAAGCAAACAGACTCATATTTCCATTCCTGGCTCCCAAGCGGGAACTTTGGAGGATTATTAACCCCTCTGTGCCTCTATTTTCTCATGTGAAAAGAGACGGCTACACCTATCTCTGATAACCGCTGTGAAGATTAAATGAGATAACGTGTGGGAAATGCTTAGAATGGTGCTTTACCATTTTAAGAATTTTATGCCTCTAAGTACTTCAGTATCACATCCCTCTCTATATAATTAAAAATAAAATAAAAAGTCGAAATTAATACTAAACAATTAAAACATGTAAGCAAGCCTAGCAAAGGCATCTTTATTCTAATAATGACTACTTTAATGCTTTAAATTTTTTTCTTAGAAATATCACATCAAATTCTTTAAAAGAATTTACCTAATTATTTTGGAGTGGCACTGCTTTGTCATACCTTAAGCACATGCCTGGTCTGGCCATTGTCTATTTCAGCTCCGGTGCTCAATAAATATTGTTTTGGATGATGGTGATGAGGATGATGATGATGGCGATAATGATGACAGGGTATCTCCAAAGGTAAAAGAAGGAGGCCCAGGGTCCAAAAACTTAGTCAAGATCACGTGAAGAACCGTAGGCTCTGCAGGCAGTGTAACCTATCCGTAGAGATTATTTATCAACAGAAGGGGAGAGATTGGCAAGAAGTCTGAGAAAGGAGCTCTCAAAAGCCATAATTTGTTCCTGTTTTTGTGACTTTGCCTGGGGATGAGAGAGATGGGACAGGACATGGTGTTCCCTGTTGCAGGGTAGAGATGGGATACCTTATCTCACCGATGAAACCTTCTGAGAGAGTTTCAGATGCCTGGAGCAAGATGTCCCTGCTGTGAGTCCAGGTGCATCAGCCTTCTGATGAGGGCTGGAGTCTTCCAGGTGAAGATGAGGATGCTAGAGACCAAGATAGAGACGTGACTACCGTTCAGACGTAACAACATTTGCCTTAGGTTTATACTCTAGTCTCTTACGAATTTGGTTGGCCTGATGCAGTTCCTAGCTCTGATTGACCCTCAGGCTCTTGACAAAATTCAGTCTCCTAACCTGGTAAACTGAGGACAGCCGTTGGGCTGTGGGGACCACTGAGGTGCTGCCACATGGTAGGAAATGCCAGTGATTGGTCATTTTCTCTGCAGGATGTTCATGGCTCATCTTGCTTTAACAGTGATGCTAACCATCTGAAAGGTTGCTTTCTGTGCCTGGGCCTTTTCCGTCTGTAAAGTGAAGGGGTTGGACCAGATAATATTGCAGTAGACTTTGATTGACACAATTGGGAAAAGGACTCCTCTACCTTGGGATGACCCAGAAGAGTCTGAATCCTCAAAACTTATTCAGAATATTATTATGCTGTTGTATCATTTTCATAATAACTCCATTTCAGGTGTTGTTTTAGGAACTCCATGAAAAAAGGATTTCTTGGGTTAAAAAAATAGAAAAATGCTCTCCATATCAGAAGTGCAGAGAAATTCTGTAGTAAGGAGATTTGTGTAGCTCAGTGTTTCCTAAACTTATTTGGCACTTCTACTCTTTTTTATTTTTTAGAACATCTGACGGTATTTTTCATGGAATAGTTTGAAGCCCTTTGTTTCAGACCAGTGTGCCTATCTCTTCTAAGTTGGCCTTTTTCTTGCTCCAGGTCACCCAGCAGCTCCCGGAGTATGGTGTGCTGCTTCATCGAGTTCTCCCAGAGAAGACAAGTCCAGAAGGCGAGATGGCCTTGGGGATCTGTGCCAAGGGTGTCATAGTATACGAAGTGAAAAACCACATCAGAATTACAACTTTACGGTTTCAGTGGAGAGAAATCTGGAAGATTTCAACTTGCGTGAGTGTAGCTCAGTTGATCAGTGACCCATGCTTTGTTTTCCTTTGATCTGTTGCTCCTGTAAAGGAGCAATGGGTCGGGTGATCTAACCAGACAAGCTCACAGCCTGTCGGTTAACCTACTCTGATGCACTGTGGCATCTTTGGAAGAAGTCTAACAGGGGCTTTGAGAGTCATCAGGAGCACATTTCTTCTCTACCATCCCTCGCCCAGACCCCCACACTCCCATGGACAGCCATCAGCCTTAAAGGGCTACCTTTACCCTCTGGGTAAAATTCTCTTAATGTGCAGAATCCGCAGATGTTGAGAGCGAGGTGGAGGTGGGCAATGGGGCAGGAGAGTGTACAGTAGGTGCAGTGGAGTCTGCAGGGTTTTGAAACGTTTTCCTTGTATTTTCATTTCCCCCTTGTGCACAGCATGCTGACACATCTGGCCTGTCTCCCGTGGACCACAAGTGTGCTATGGGACTGCTGGGGACCCCAAACCTTTGATAGCCATTGAAAATTTCAAAGCCTTTTTTTAAAAACAAAAAAAAAATCCCTATTAAATTACAATGTTTGGAATTGTGTTGGAACATTTGCTTGTGTATTTATACTTCCTGAATTTGGTTACAATAAATTCGGCCTCAAAAACATTATGTGTGTTCCCAGAGCAGAGAGGGCTCAAGTAGCTAGTCTATTTGCTGTCCTGTGGACCATCGCAGGCAGGAAGCCATCCCTCCAGGATGAGTTCACTATAAAACCTGAAGTTCTTCCACTTGTGGCCTAGGAAAAAACTTAATTCTTCTTTCTATTTAATTTTCTCTTATGGTTTTAAAATGTTTCCCACTGACTAGATTGCTGTTTTTGTTATCGTTATCTGATATTAGAGTTTCCGAAGTAGAACCTAATTGGTTTCATTCATTTTCTCAATGTTTCTTTTGTTTCTTCCATCTTGGCTATTGAAGTTAACGTATTGTTAAAATACGATTCTTGATAGAATTTCATAATAAAGTGTTGTTTGTCTTTAGGAAAAAAAGCTTACATCTAAAAATAAATAATTGAGTATAATTTAATTAAGTTCATTAAAATAGCCTTTATAGTATTAGGAAACTGATGTTTTCCCAAATATTTTTGACCATATCTAAAAGTAAGTGAGATTTATATTTGTGAATTTTTCAGAATTTTAATGGCTCAAATTGCTTTAATTCAATTGAAAGATTATTTGAAGAATTTTCATTATTGAATTTTTTCAGTACTATTGCGTTACTTCCTATTTTCTTTATGTCATGCTTAATTGTTCACAATTTCCAAAGGAATTTCTTTTAAAACATTTGTAAAAATGAAGATAACCTAAAAAGTAATTTTGAAAAAGAGACTTTTTTGAAGCCATAAAGTTTAACAGTCCCCATAAGTAGGTACTTTATATTTAAGTTGGTTTAATTTTTACAGATTTTTTTTTCCCCACGACCACAGACAATTTCTTGAACAAAGCTGGAAAGTCGTCATGTTCACAAGACAAACTTAGTAGCTTATAAAAAACACCTTGTCACTAATTAGGATTTCCATGCCCTGATGACCATGCTCTTCCTCAGCATGAATGTCTTTTTTTAATGGAAAAGTCATCATGTGAAGTAATGTCACCAGCTGCTTGCCACCAAACAAGGCAGGCGTCTTACACAGTAAATGACCTGAACTCTTCCTGTTTCTGCAAACACAGAACAGGGAACTCAGTGAATAATACAAGAATGAGCTCAGGAAGCAGGTTTCAAATTTGGCTGATCAATAGCGGAAGCCACAATGCTTCAAACAATTGCAGACATTCATCCTGCCAGCCTGGAGAGAACTGGCAAAGGAAATAGAGAAGAATGCCCTGTTCAAAGATTGTGGTGTGTAGACGCATTGGCAGCCTGTCTGTGACAGAGACAATATCAATTCAGATTAGTCAATGGAGAAAGTGTTGGTTGTGGAACAATGAACCTACCCACGTTAGTAACTGTTCTGGGCTGTTAACAGTAGTTAAAATGTCTGAAGAGGAAGGGGTGAAGGCAGGGGGGCTCAGCTTCGGGGGGCTCTCTTTAAGAAAAAGAATACAAAGTTCCAAACACAAACTGCGGCATGAAAGTGCATATTCACTTAGAATGAGAAAAGAAATCACCACAACCTGTGAATTTTAAAAAGCTGAGCAAACACTGTGAAATCACGAAAGCCCCCCAAATAATATTTCTGTTAATTAACTCCCTGATAAACTCAATAATTCTTTTTTTCCTTTCAAATTCTTGGTGGCATACGCTCTGATTACTTTTCCATGTGATGACACTTCTGTAATATCATTTTCTCTAGAGAGAATAGAAATATGATTTAGTCTATCTTCTAGCATGGCTGATCGAAAGTTATTTTTATTATTGATAACATGCATAAAACATGCAGCTTTGCACAGAGACATCCTTGCTCTTTGTAGTGCTGCTACAGGTCTGTACTACAAACACAGGAAATCTACTAAATTCTATTATGTGTGATTCCCATCAAAAAAAGAAAAGTATTGTGTGGTGTATTGATAACGCACCATATGCAATTATAAAGTATATTCCTGATGGGACAGAACTTCCACTTGACTGGGTGTTTTTGAGAATTAAATTACAGTTTTTTAATTTTTGACGATTGAAAAAATTTCCCAGAGACTGGCCCCTGGCTCTGTACATTTCAAACCTTGTTCCCCTCCAGCACTGACCCGACATACTTCTGGTGCCCGGTATTGTAGGGCACGGTCAATTTCATATGGTCACTGGCCCTATACCTTTATGCTGAGACTTTGGGTGAGTTGGTCCAATGGATGGAGTATTCTGGGATGGCTGGCAATAAACTACTGCAGAAGAGACTTCAAACCACGTAAATAAATCCCACTGAATCTACACGAAATGTATCCCCGTTTCAACTTCTCCTTAGCAGGGTCTGCTTCCACACCACGCAACACTGCCTGTGGTGGGAGAAGTGGGGAGGGGTTGGAGTGGAAAGACGAGTCCGTGGTCTCAGCTGATTGTGGTGAAAGCGTCGTGCTGTCTGCAGTTTACAAGAACACGTGAAGACATTTCTGGTGTCCCTTCAGCTTCACTAGTTTCATGGCAAATCTGCCTCTGGAGGAATATTATGTTCTGCAAAGATGTATCAAACCAGACAAACAAATCGGCATGCGAACAAACAGCAACAACAATAAAACTACTGGGGATGAAATATTTGAAATGGTAAACCAATGCTTTGAAACAAACATGGTGTTCCAGAAGTACCAAGTGTGTTTGTACTGCAACACCAGAGGTGTAAATAAGCTCTTCGTGCTTGTGCTGAAAACCCTGATATTCAGGTTGTACGTCGTCTTATTCACAGAGCGGCTTGCCTATGGGAAAGTTTGCCTGCAGATATGAATTTTCCATTAAATGATGTTATCAAAGTGGAAAAAAATTGAAACCACTGCAGTCAAGACTGTTTTCAGCTTCATGGCAAGAAATGGGATCAGATCTCCACTCCCTGTGGTGTTTAATACCTTAGAGCGTTGGTGTCCGAAAGGAGAGTTTTGCAGAGTTTATGAGCTGAAAGAAAGACTGGGGTGTGTGTGTGTGTGTGTGTGTGTGTGTGTGTGTAAGAATGATTCTCTCTTTTCAGATTTGTCAAAGAATAGTTATTAGATTTAAAAAAACTTACTTTTTTAAAATACCTGAGTGAACTTAGTATAAAATGGTCAAGAGTGTGTAAAAGCATATCAATGTGTACTGACAAAGTAGATGGATTCCAAGCAAATATTCAGCTTTAGAAAAGTGTGGATAGGGCCGGCCCCATGGCTTAGCGGTTAAGTGCTCGCGCTCCGCTGCTGGCGGCCCAGGTTCGGATCCCAGGCGTGCACCGACGCACCGCTTCTCCGGCCATGCTGGGGCCGCGTCCCACATACAGCAACTAGAAGGATGTGCAGCTGTGACATACAACTATCTACTGGGGCTTTGGGGGAAAAAATAAGTAAATAAAATTATAAAAAAAAAAAAAGTGTGGATAAAATGATCACCTACTGAAGTTTAGGCATTATTATAATTGGAATGCTAAAGAAGAATTATTAAGGCTAGTAAGGCAGCATCTATGAATGTTTGAAAAATACATTATTTTAAAGAATACTAGATATGGTATAGTTCAGTTTGATCCAAAATCCATTCATGTTAGTATAAGGAAGTTCAACATTTGTCACTAAAAGAAAAGAATATTTAGAGAATGCACAAATTATCTAAAATTAGGTTAATGGCGAAAAGGAGTTTCTCAGAGGAAAAGCACTGAATGGTTATCTGCCTGTTATTAATACCTGACTTGTAACTGGAGCTTCTTAGAAATGGTGACGGTCATGAATTGAAAGGGATCAGCATTAAAGAAGATCAGGAGTTTCAGGCACAAACCTTTATTTGTAAGGTGATCTTATAGGAGCAAGCTCAAGTTTCTTATTGAAATTGGAATATCTAGCACAGAGATTTTACGTGAAAGTTATAAATAAATTCATATTTAATGTCTCTATTACTTTATATTTGATTGTTCTTATTAGAATTATATAATGCAAAAAGTAATGGATTTTTTCCATGAAACTCCATATAGATAACCCCATAGAGATAATGCTTTCTAGTTCATCTGAGTGAGCTGTACAGAGATTATCACTTTGTATGTGGGCCTCGAAGGTATAAACGTGGGAAGCGTTTCTTGGTGATGTGACCTCCGTTCCTGCTGCATTCGGAGAGCTCTTAGTCTGTTTCCTCATCTGCAGAATGAGGATGATGATAGGACATCCTTCATTCTGTAGCTTCGAGGACGAAATGAATTAATACCCAGAAAGCACTTGGAACAGAGCCTGGCACATTCAGCAGGAAACATGAGAATACATACAGTGCTTTCATCGTTCCTACAACCCTGCCAGCTGAGATTTTGTCTGCAACTTCTGGGAGTTTGTACAGTGAAAACTATAGGTATATTTATTGGCCTTTCAAAATGCACACTGAGGATTATGCTCACTTCTTGGTGAGGGCCAAGTGTGTACCTGACTCATTTTATATTCTATTCATCCAGCACACTCCTTGGCAGATAGCAATTGCCCCATAGACAAACATTTGATTTACGAATGAAGGAAAAAATAAAAAGAGGGATTTTCTTTAATCTAAGAAAAAATATTGGTCCATAGTCAGACAACATCTGTCATACACATCTGGATGCCTGGTAATTGATATTGAACTGAGGGATCCAGCACTCGCTTACTCTCTGGACAGTGTGCTTCAGTGCATGGGTAAGGATGGTCAACAGTAAAGTCTGTGTTTGTTTCTTTCAGCGAAAGAAGTTCACCATCACAAGCAGCATCACGGGGAAAAAGCACACGTTTGTCACCGATTCGGCCAAGACCTGTAAATATTTACTGGGCCTCTGCTCCGCCCAGCATGGGTTCAATGCTCAGATGAGCTCGCCCCGAGTCCCAGCTGGTGAGTAGACCATATTCTCCACCTCCACCTTGGCAAGTCTGTTATTTCATAAAATAATTTGTATAAATTGATACAATTGACCCAGAAAACTTTAAAGAGTTTTAAATCTCCCTAGTAACTGAAGAAATATAATTAAAATGAAATACATTTTTTTCTTAGATTGGTAAATGCTAAGATAAATAATATCGGGAGGATAAATTGATACAATCTTTCGAAAGAGTGCAATTGGGAATATAGATCAAAAGCCTTAAAAAAGCCCATGTCCTTTGGCCCTGCAATTTTACTTGTAGAGAGATATTTATCCAAAGGTAATAAATAGAGAAGTACACAAAAGTTTATGCTCATGGGTGTTGACTAGAACATTATTTATAACAGTGACCATTTGGAAGCAACCGAAGTATCCAAAAACAGGGGACTAGTGAGATAAATCACAGCATGTCTATATAATTTAGACATTAAAATCAGTTTTTGGAGAGTGATGACATGTGCAAGTGTACATGGTAGTGTGCTCGGTGAGGAAAAGCAGGATATGAAAAGATTTCTGGCACTGTCTGCGATGATGGAAGTAGCTACACTGACAACATGGGGGTCACTACCAGTGTGTACCTACTGAGTGCTTGAAAGGTGGCAAGTACCACTGAGGAACTAAATTTTTAATTTTATTTAATTTTAACTAAGTTATATTTAAATGTAAAGGGCCACGTGTGCCTGCTGTATTGGGTAGCACAGGTATAGACACCATGATAGCAATTTGGTTAATTTTGACATGTTATATAACAGGAAAGAAAGACTACGGAAATGAGCCAGACCAAAACACCTTCGTGAGTTTGTTGTTACCTTTGTGAGTTAGGCATGTGGGCCTGATTATTTGTTCTTCTGTATATTTTTTCAGTATTTATCAAACTTTCAACAGTGAACGTGTATTACTGATATAATTAGGAAAGAGACTATTAGTTAAAATGAGGCTACACATCACAGAAGACGAGTTAATATTTACTATTTAGGAAGTGCTGTAGAACTATTTATTATTGTTATTCATACTTTTCCCAGGCGTTATGCTAAGTCCTTACACGAATTATCTCATTTATGCTCATAGTATACTGATTTCTCAACCTGCAGTTGTCAAGCGGCCCAAGGAGGCAGGGACCAGCATTAGTGGGAGAAGCAAACTGAGGTTTGGAGAAATAAGTAAGGAACGTGCCAGCTGGTTAGGGGTGGGGGGTGAGATTTGAACCTGCGGCTCTCTGAGCCTTGTGACTGTGCACTTCACCCCTGTAGTATGCCCTTCCATAACCTGCCAGAACATGGACTTGAGGACCAGAGAGATTTGGCATTGAGTGCTGGATTTCTCACATTGGCTGTTGATCTCTAAGCACTCTATTTTCTTTGGTTATAAAAGGGAAGAATGTAATACAGTGGTTTCAGCCTTCGTATTCACAGAGTGGTCTCTGCACCTGGGAGCTTGCAGGGATGCAGAATCTCAGGCCCCACACAGACCTGCTGAACCAGAGTCTGCATTTGAAAAAGAACCCAGGCGATTTGGATGCACATAAAAGTTTGAGAACCCCTGGCTTGGAATATGGCCCATGGAGTCCAATAGACTTGGGACAGTGCCACTTACCAGCTGCGTGACCTTGAGCAACTCACTTGCCCTCTCTGAGCCTTGGTGATCTCTGTTGAGCACACTGGCTGTGTGCCATGCTCCAGTGGGACAGTGTGTGATGTTCCTAGCTCCCTGTCTGGCGTTCGTTGCTCAGCGTGAGTAGTCACAGCAGCTCCTGCTCGAGGAGGTTTTGTTTGATGATGGCCAATTCACATGGGGTCCTGGGATGGGGGTAACAACTGGGAGACAAAATCTCTGAGCATTTGGATGCAGAACCAAACACAGAAGATAAAGGTGGCATATTATTTGCAGCAAAACCAAATTAATATCTAAATATTTCATTGAAACCTCAGGGTGGCGGTTCCAGGATGTTTCCAGGGAGCTGGAGATAATGAATGTAAATTAATTATATCTTACCTGCTATTGCTAAGATACAGTGAGAAACATCATCAACATTTCTTTTATTGCCTGATATCAGCGACCGTAAAATATTTATAAAGACTCCACGGGCTCACTTGTGAAATTAGTCCTCCTCAGCCTATTTTGCTCATAATATACTGTTTTCTCAAACTGCAACTTCTACCATTATAGGAATTTCCAGGAATCTAATATTTGCAGTAAAAGGGCTATTTTAGACAGTTTTTCCTTTTGGCTGGGTTGATGCTATTTTATTTTAATTTTTCCAGCTTCATTGAAATATTATTGATGTATAAAGTATGTAAGTTGAAGGTGTGCAATGTGATGATTTGATACACTTGTATATTGTAAAATGATTACCAATAAGGTAGCTAACACTTCCATCCCCTCACATGATCACCATTTTTTTGGTGCTGGTAACATTAAAGAGCTACTCTCTTAGCAACTTTCAAGGATGTAATACAGTGTTGTTAACTATGGTCAACATGCTGTACATTAGATCCCCAGAACTTATTCGTCTTATAGCTGGGAGTTTGTACTCTTTGACCAACATTTCCCCATTTCCCCCACCCCCAGCCCCTGACAACCACCATTCTACTCTCTATTTCTATGAGTTCAGCTTTTTTAGATTCCACATATAAGTGAGAACATTCGATATTTGTCTTTCTCTGTCTGACTTATTTCACTTGGCATAATGCCTTCAGGGTCCAACCATGTCTCAAATGGTAGGATTTCCTTCTTTTTTATGGCTGAATAATATTCCATTGTATATATATATTTTCCATTCATGTGTTGATAGACACTTAGATTGTTTTGACATTTTGGCTGTTGTAAATATGCTGCAATGAACATGAGGTGCAGATATCTCTTTAGGGGTGATGTTTTCATTTCCTTTGTGGATAAATACCCAAAAGTGGAATAGTTGGATCATATGGTAGTTCTATTTTTAATTTTTTCCATACTCTTTCAATAGTGGCTGCACCAATTTATGTTCCTACCAACAGTGCACAAGAGTTCCCTTTTCTCCACATCCTCACCAACACTTGTTATTTCTTGTCTTCTTGTTGATAGCCATTCTAACAGGTGTGAGGTGATATCTCATTGTGGTTTTGATTTGCATTTCCCTAATGACTAGTGACGTTGTGCACCTTTTCATGTACTTGTAGGCCATTTGTATATCTTCTTTGGAAAAATTAGACAATTTTTCTTTGCCTTTTAAAAAATTTCTTCGTTATTAGAAACTCTCTGCAGACACCATTTTCAACGATTGCATCCAGCTGAGAGCTGGCCATCTCCATCTGACGGCCCCATACAGTCCTCAAACTCAGCGTGTCCGCAGTTGAGCTCATCCTCCCAGACAACTCCCTCCACCATGATCTTTGTCTTGTTCAACTGAGACCACCCTGTTCAACTGAGACCCACCCTGCAAGGAAGTGGGAGGGTCTGGACCTGCACACTCTTTTCCCATCCCACCTGTCACCAAATGCTCTCAAATGGGCTTGCTGCTGGGAGTCATGTCCCCTCTAACTCATCCTGCTCTCAGCCCTCACAGTGACCTTTCAAAAGCACCAGTATATCCATGTTCTTCCACACTCACAATTTGTCAGTGGCTCTCTGCTGTCTGCTGGGACAAGCCCAGACTTTTTTTTTTTTTGGTGAGGAAGATTTGCTCTGAGATAACATCTGTGCCAATCTTCCTCTATTTTATATGTGGGTCACTGCCACAGCATAGCTGATGAGTGGTGTAGGTCTGTGCCCAGGATCCAAACCCACGAACCCAGGCCGCTGAAGTGGAGGGTGCCGGACTTAACCACTATGCCACAGGGCCAGCCCAAGCCCAGACCTCTGAAGATGGCATGTCAGACTCTTCCCACTCTGGCCCCAACCCTGACTTATTGCTTGCCGTGATTCCTCCACTCTGCTCTCTGGCTTACACTGCATGCTGGCTTGCAGGCTGCTGAGCACACAAGGATGGGTCAGGTTCCGGGGCCTTTTGTGCTTAGTGTGGCCTCTGCCTGCAATGCTGTGCCTGCCCCCTTCCAGGCTCAGACCACCAAAAGAAGCCCGATTCTCCAAGAATGAGTTCCAAGACGTCCTCCTCTCTGGCTCTCCTGATTGACTGCCCCGTCCTCCCTTCCCAGGTGGAGCTGACCAGTCCCACTTTTGTGTAGACTGTCTTCTCACCTATAATATTCTGCCACTTTAATTTGTGGCTATATCTGCCTCCAGTCTGCAGTAGACTGGGGGTTCCTGGAGGGCAGGGACAATGTCCCACTGCCTTTACAACGCCAGCACGGAACAGATGTGTGTAAGTGGAAGGTGGTCAATACGTGTTTTTTGAATGAATGAGTGGATAATTAGTGTGAAAATACAATCATTTACTTCATCATTCTCCTATTTTGATTTTGTTTGCTTTTAATTTTTCCATATTATAAATAATATTGTGATAAACATCATTGGAAGAAACATGTTTTGGTATTTTGTATTATTTCTTTATGTTAGAGCTTGGAAATGTCATTGTTGGGACAAAGGCTGGGGCATTTTTAAGGCCCTGGCTATTTCCCTGAGCATCATTTGCATGCCCAGGATCATCCTGCTGTTTTGTTGCATCCTTGCTGGGATAGATAATATCATGTTTATCTTTGTTCATTTGATAGATAAAAATAATTTCACGCTGTTGTTTCATTTTGCATTTCTTTGTTGGGAAGTTGAATATCTTGTGCTTAGTTTCTTAGTCATTCTTCTGTGAATTGTCTCAACAAGCGTATTACTTTATAGTTATATTTGGTTCCCTGGGGAGAGAGGAAAATCACCGAGCTTTGGAAAGTGCATAATTTCAGGACTAAATCAGGCAGGATCTGTCGGCGTTGCAGAGGGGCCCATGGGCCTCTTCTCAGCCCTTTCAGATGGTGACAGGGCTAGCAGGAATGCTCTCGGCCCTTCCAAAGCTGTAAGACTCTGCAGCTTTGCAGTGGGCTGCCCAGGGTCTCACCCTAGTTCCTTTTCCTTTTCCTGGTGGCCCTGGGCTCTCGGTGGCTCCTGTGCCCGTGCAACACTGTAACTAACTTAGACTTCAGCCTTGCCATCCAGACCGGTTCGGACATTTGTCAACTACTTCGCTGGTGCCACAGTTACACTGTGAGTCCCCCATGTCCAGTGGACAGAAACCATCTGCTGTCCTCAGCGTGTCGGTGGCTTTGGGGTACTCTTGGCAACTCTTCCTTCCGTTCCTGAAAGGCTATCAACTCTTGGCTCTCCTAGCTACCCACCAACCCTGCCAGCAAGGTTTGTCTGCCCGACTGAGCCCCACTCAGCTGAGGCCTGATGCTGATGACAGCACTCCCCTCCAGCCCACCAGCCCCCTGCTGTGCTGAGTGCCTGATGTGAGTGCTGGACGTCCGTGCCCCCATCCCCTGCCCTCACTGGGTGGCTCCTGTCCTGTTAACAGGCTTCCTCCTTAGAGCCCTGATGCTCTCCAGCTTCTTGCTGGGGACAGTGTCCTGCCTGGAACCCAGGCCTTTGGGACTCTCACTCCTTTGCTATCTTCCATGAGCCCCCCTCCCCTAGGGGACAGCCCCTCCCTTCCTGTCCCCCCCACCTCTGTACGAAGGCTTCCTTCCAACCTGCTAAACCTCTCTGAGCTGAGACTCTGCCTCGACCATCTCTCCCTAGAATGTCCCCTCTGGGTATTAACATCCACCTGATTAAGCCTCCTTTGGGCCCCGATGATCAGAAGGCTGAGCGTGCCCCAGGTGAATCTCTCGTGCTGCCGTCTTTGTTGCGGCATCCTCGGCACCTCGATTTTCGGGTGTGGGCTGTGGAGTCCGCTGACTTGAGTGTGAGTCCTGCTCCACACCTCGCCAGCCCTGGGACTTTGAGCAAATTATTAACTCTCTCTTAGCCTCATGTTTCCTCATCTATAAAGTGGGTATAATAACATCTACTCCAGTGTAATTGTGAGGATGAAATGAGACAGTGCAGAAAACATGCCTGCCACTGGGCCTGGCACATGACGGGCATCCGTCAGTATGAGCTATGGGTGTCGGTGTTACTGTTGCTGTTGCTCTGCGTCTGTGCGGGTCCACGCTCTGGAGTGAGATACTGTGCAATTTGTGCACAAGCTGCACGTCGTACTCACATTCCTTATATCCTCTTTTCTTCCTTGCCCACCATATGTGAGTGATGGTACCAAATGCTTCACAGACAAAGAAAGTTCTCAGAAAGTATTTTTTAATGTATTTTCCAGTCGGCACAGCCTGGGCAATGAACCAGCCACCATGGTAGGAAAGTGGGGAGTGTCTGCTTGAAGAAATAAATGCCCACAGACACCCTCACAGTGGAGGCGCTTCACGCACTTCACACACACACACACACACACACACACACAAACCAGAGCCACACAGGCGCCGTGTGCCCGAGCATTCTTTCCTTGTCGGTTTTAGCAGGGAGCAGATGGTCAGAATATACTCATCATTTTCCTTCTTCAAAATACAAATTGGGCTTTGTATAAAGCCTAGTTCACTTATGGGATCCATCAAATCCCGATTTTTTGTGAACGACACGGGCAGTGAAGTGGCAAGAGTCACTCACGCCCGTCGTCTCGAGTTAGGGACTCTGTTAGTCATTCGTTCCGTTCCCGTATGACGGGAGGAAGGGGCGCGTCAGCGCTGGAGGACTCAACTCGTCTGATACGTGTTTATATTTCAGAACATTGGCCCTTAACTTAAATATTATTACTGAGGAAACTAAGCTGTGTGGAGATTAAAGATTATGTTCCACGGGACAGAGCCTACTCTGGTAATTCGCAGTCCCGTGTGTTACAGCGGCATTTGCCACGGCAGTTCTGTAAAGGCGGCAAGCAGAGCGGATGGCGGCAGCTAATTTCATATGAAGCTCTGCTGGCGCTGTGACGTTCCCGGGAACATTCTTGGGTTAGCAGCCATCACAGCCTTGGCTCAGAGGCCTGTCAGCTCCAGGCAGAGGGAGAGCATCTCATCTCCTCCCTCTTGTATTTCTGTGGTTTCTTTCATTAGCGAGTGCTAATTAGGAAGACTTGTGTTCTCAGAGCTAATCACAGGAACTCCCCGAGGTTGCAGGAGGAAAAAAGAGCAGGCCTCTCAGTGCAGAGGACGGAGAGCGAGAACGGAGCCGTTGCTGCCACAACAGCGATGGGCCCAGTGTCAGTCTGCTATGTATTTATATTTATCTTTCCTCCCAAATTTCAGACCATGATAAGTGTGTGCAAATGGCCAATCTGAGTCTTGCACACCTGGCCCAGCCCAAGCCTCTCACTTGGATTCAGAGATTGTTGCGCTCAGAGAACACTCTGTTCACGCCCAGGCTAGAGGACGCCACAGGAGGCCTGCTGCGCACATCACTGGATGACTTCGCCATGGAATCCAGCAAGGAGACAGGGCCACAAGGCGTCGGAGGCAGGTGGGTTTGGCACATCTGTTCTCTGGGCCCAAACCACCAGGGACTTGGTGCTCCGAGCGATCTGTACCAGAAGAAATTGTTTAGAGGACGTCAGATGTCTGAGGGAAGTATACACTCCTTGGATAAGTATCAACTAATTCCAGAAATTTCTTGAAGGCAAGCTATGGGAGAAGTCTGTGCTAACTACTATAAGGCAGGCTTCCCGTCTCGCTGCTACATTGCTTCTTTCTTTTGGTGGAGAAAGAACTAGGTGATAATACGAAACTGAAGATGACAAAATAAACAAGTTACAATAAGCCTATTTGGTCTTATTACGAGCCGGGTACTGTTCTAAGCACTTGTGCACATCAACTAATTTAACCCTCACAACCTTGGGAAGTAGTTTCTACTGTTCTCCAAGATCTACAAGGGCAGAAACGGAGGGTTTGGGATTCGAACACGCACAGCAGGCCCTGGAGTCCCAACTACTAATCTGTACACTATGCTACTTTCTCTTTTGATGGGGTGCTTGTAATTTAATTTGCAACTGAAAATAATGAGCTTATAAATACAACTTTACATTATAACACAAGGATCCATACATTTAAAAATAGCCTAGAAGTTGGATTACACTTACGCTGCAAGTTATTTAATATAAATAGCCCAGATTCACAGGCAGCACGTGACCAGGGAAGGTTGCTGAAGGAGCTGTTTTTTGTATGGGTTATGCAACTGCTTCGGCAAGAGAGGATGATGATTCACTTGAACTGTGATATATACATATCTATCTTACAGTAATTCTTAGAAGATTATTGTCTCAAATTCTTTTAATGTAAATAAACATCACCACGCTCTGCAAACTCAATCAATAGTGAGGAAGCAAAACTGTTGGTGTGTCTATTGCCGTGTGACAAACTACCGCAAAGCACAGTAGCTTCAAACAACAATGATTTTGTCATTCTGTTTCACAGTGTTCTGGGTTAGAAATTCAGGCAGGGCTTGTCTGGGTGATTCTTCTGCTTCTTGTGGTATGGACTGGAGTCACTTGGCGGCACTCAGCAGGACTGATCTGGAGGCTCCAGGAAGGCATTACTCCCGTGCCCAGGCCCTCGGTGGGGATGGCTGGGATGGGAGCTCAGCCCCTCTGACTTCCAGTGTGGTCTCAGGCCCTCTCCACATGGTGCCTCCAGCCAGTGGTCAGGCTTCTGCGTGCACAGCAGCTCAGGGCTCCAAGGGCCCAAGGCGAGGCTGCCAGTCTTCTTAAAGGCGGGGCCTGGAGCTGGCACAGCGTCACTTCTGCCCTACTCTTTTGGTCAAAGTCATCACAGGTCAGCGCAAATTCAAGGGCAGCAGAAACAGACTCCACCTTTTGATGTAGGAATGTCGAAGAATTTGTGGCCATCTTTAATCTGTCACTCAAACTAATAGGACTTTATAGTTTAAAAGCCTGAAGAAGCCGCAACGGACTCAAAGCCACCTTGAGAATATGTTGACTACAAAATATCCTTCCTGAGGATGGTGAGGGTCCCATGACCTCCCAGTGGGCATGCACAGTGGGGGCTTTGCAGCACTGCTTGGTGGCCAGGCTTCTCCCTAGGAATCTGAATTAGAGTGATCCTGAGCAAGTTATTTAACAGGGCTGTGCCTCAGTTTCCTCATTTGTCCAGTGGTGGTAACTGTAATACCCACCCCAGTGGGTGGCCATGGGAGTTAAATGGTCTTATAAAACACTGCACATGGGCTGAGTCTGTGGTGAGTGTCCCAGTGTTGGTGCCCCTGCCCCCAGACTCTAGGGTTGGAACAGGAACCCTCGTATGGGGGTTCGAATGGGTTAAACATTTAAGGGAGGCACAGACACAGATTATGGCTCCTCTGAGGGTGAAGTGATTATTTCCAAGTAAGAGGGCTGGGGAGGGCTGCATGGGGGAAGTGACACCAGCAGGCTGTGGGCGCGGAGAGAGGGAGGGAGACATGCAGGACCCAGTTCATTTTGCTGAAGAAATCAGTTGAGCACCTGCTGTGTGCCAGCCCTGGGCTGGGTGCTGAGGAGTCAGCAGTGAGCAGGACAGACAGGGCCTGCCTCCTGGTGCTCACAGAGGTGACAAGCACAGGGCCTGAGTGGGCAGGAGCAGGTTGTGCTGTTGGCCCGGGGCCTGTGGCTCACGATGGTCGAGAGCAGGACGGCAGGGTGGCAGTGCACGCAGACATTTACACTGAAGAGACGGGGCTCCACCCCCAGTGCCATTTCTGGGCAGTGGTTTCCTCAGCACGCTTAAGAACAGGGGTGCCCGTGGGGTGCCAGGCCTGCTATAAATCCCTACCCCTCCCTTCTCCACTGAGAAGTCGGCCACCCGCTTCACATCGCCTTTTCTGTAAAATCTGTCCCGACTGCCCCAGCGAAGGGGGTGGCCCCTTGACGTCACTGGCTCCATTTATAGCAGCGCCCCCAGGCCTCCTCCACCCCAACAACCCCATGCATTGATCTGTCTGTCCTGTTAAATGTGAACTTCCAGAGGACAGCCACACGCCTGTTTTTCCCTTGGCTCTGAGGCCAGGACGTGGAGGCTTCCAGCAAATGGCTTTTTTTTGGGGGTTTGCGTTTTCAAAAGCTTATGTTAATTGTGGTAAAATACATATAGCATAAAATGTACCATCTTAACCATTTTTAGGTGTAGAGCTCAGTAGTGTTGAGTATATCCACACTGTTGTGCAACCAATCTCCAGAACCTTTCATCTCGCAAAACTGAAACTCTACACCCATCAAACAACAGCTCCCCATCGCCCTCCCCCAGTTCCTGACAACCACTGCTCTACTTCCTGTCTCTGAATCTGACGACTTTAGGAACCTCACACGAGTGGAATCATACAGTGTTTGTCCTTGCGTGACGGCAGTAAATGCCAGTCATTATTCTTTTTGAACAATAAAGAGTTGCATGAGTGGCCTGGATCATGGGGGCCACAGAGACCAAGGACGGAAAGCCCTACTTTTTCTCCAAAGGCCCATCGATATGCCACCTGTCCCTGTAGCCCTCTCGGCTCCTCCAGGACTGCTGGGGTGTGTCCTTCTTTGAGCCCTGGAGCGCTCTGCCAATGCCTCTCCCTGGTGCTTTGATCAGCTATACATGGCATGAAAGGCATCCACCCCAAATCCTGCAGTGGGCTGGAAACTACCAGAAGGCAGGGCCCACCTCTGATCCACCTTCACCCTCAGTGGCCTGCCAGCCTGGGGCCTGGCACTTAGTTGGTTCGCAGTCAACTCAGGTTGAGCTTGCTGAAATGCTCAGTATAAACAGGAGCTAAGTCAGATTGCGGCAGCATCTGTAATCTCCAAAGAATGGCTCCACGCTGGCACCTCACCTCTGCGCCCGCCTCCCTCCGCCGTCACTCCTGTTCTTCCTCTTCTAGCTCTGCACCCTCAAACAGTGCCAGGCTCTGTGCCGAAAGCACCTGGCATCGCCGACCCAAGGATGCAGAGAGAGGCTCCATGGGAAGTGGCACGTGCCAGCATCGCCTGCCTTGATCTGGCTGGCTAAAGCAGTGGGGTGGGTGTGGGCTCACTGAGGTAAGGACAGTCTGGGTAATGAAGAGCAGCTGAACCTGTTCAGATGGTTGGCCTTCCTGGAGGCCTGGTGGCCGCTTTTTCCACGGTTCTGACCTCCCGTGGATTTGCATCAATTCTTCCTTCTCACTCTCTACTTTGCTCATCCCTGAATGTAGCTTATTTCCTGCAGAGCTGACTCTGGGGGTGGGGCAAGGTCCCCGCTTAATTCATTATTATCCTAGGGCCTAGAACGTTCTTTGTTTACTGGAATCCTGGCTCAGCAAAGACCATTTGAATGCCTGCATGAAAGGTTCTTGTTCTCAGCTTGGTGTGATCAGGGAGTAGTCAGCCCAAATGCCCACAAGGGTCAAACAGGCAAGTTACTGTGCCCATCCCTGGGGCACATCATAGGTGGGGCTGCTGGGGCATGCCCGGCCCAGCTAAAAACAAAAGCAAACAATAGAAAACCAGGACCCACTAAAAGTTTCTGTGTTTACACTTCCTACCTCATTTTGGTGCCATCACAAGCCTGGGAAATAGGGATATTATTGCTGTTTTATGGTTAAGGAAATGGAGGTTTTGAATGGCTGCATATTCAGCCCAAAGGAGAGCAAGTAGGAGGTTCCTAGGAGGCCCGAGTGACTCTAGGGTCCCCACTAAGGCAGAAAGACTCCAAAGCCCTTCTTCCTGATACCTTTTTGACAGCCAGATCAGCCCTTGACGGGGTCTGTCCGCAGATCTTCTGGCTGATCAGGCCCAGGGCTGCATTCCTCAGGCCACCATCCATACTCAGAAATGCCAGGATGTTGCCACCTAGGGGCGTCTTATCTCATCTGTTGCCTTTCCCCTGCAGCCCCTGCGTTGGCCGGGAGCAGCTGGAGAGCATCTGTTTGAACCAGAAGCCAACAACTTGTGACCCTCTCTCCGGGTCGCCTGTTCAGAGCATGTGCACAGGTGGGGCCAGGCCGTGGGCCAGGTGTGGGGTAAAAGAAACCTACACGTGGCACTTGCTTTCAATCTTTTGCCACCACTTCATTTTGCTTCCTTGATAATGTTCCCAATCTTTTTGTTTTTTAAATTATTTTCAAAACTCCTTATGGTCGGGAAGAGCGCTTGCAATGCACCTTTGGCTTGGGCTGGGCGTGTGGATCTGAAATGTTTTAGTGCTGGTGGAGATCCCCAGTGCTCTGGTCCAGCAGGAGGAACACCTGCTGTGGACAGGTGTGGTTAGAAAAACGCCTTACCCATTTTAGTTAGAACTCTTCATGCAGGCCCAGGATACCACCTCCCAGGATCCTCCAGAAAACAGGGTGGGCAGCATTCCGTGTGTCATAATCCTCCAGGCAAGCCCCCAATGGGACAAAAAGACAAAGAGATTCCAGAACTAGAGAAAATATTTATACTTGATGAGCATTAAGCCTGGGGATTGGATCTAGAATACTACCAGGTGGCTCTTTACCGTGAGCTGTCTGCCAGATTCTGCCATGGTCCTTGGGAGAAGGAGAAATGTGGAAAGCGTTGGGTGGTCGGTCACCATTTGGGGATTTTCCCACGTGCTCTGTGACCAGCGTTGGAGTGCCCCACCCAGGACTCCAGCCTGTTTGGAACAAATCAGGGCTCTGCTGTGGTCTCCTCCCAGACCCACGCTGGGAAAAGACCTCCAGGGCGTCGGTGCTGGGCTGTGAGGCCATATCACTCTCTGATTATTCAAGGCCCAGGAGAGGAAGGCTTTGCTGTCTCCTCTCTGTGCTCTAAGTTTAGTTTTAGTTTTCACTGCCACCAGGTACATCTCTGCTCAAATTCTGTCTTGTCCCAAGACCAGTGCAGAAAAGAATAGCTATAGTAAGTTGCAGAAAACAAGCATTATCACCATCCTACCCTTGCCTCTGTTCTTGTTGCCCAAACTTGACCATCACTGACCAGTGAGGCTCATTGGAAGCATGTGTTCAGTGATCCACCCCCAGTATTGTGTGTGTGTGTGTGCGTGTGTGTGTGACACAGTGTTCACACCTTTTATATCAGGTCTCAGACAGTTTGGGGGAAAAGCACAATGTGGGGCTTTCTTGCCGCCTCTAGGGTCACAACATAACAGGAGAAAGAGCTTCCCAGCAGACCCGAATGGAGAAATCATGCACGTGACCCTGACTCGGGATCCACGGCGTGGCTTTGGTAAGAGGGCCCCAGCCGGTGAGCCCCAGCCTCTCCCTCTGGCAGGGGGAGGTGTGTGCCATCTTCCCTCTGACTTTTCTACTCTTCTTTCTGGCCTCTCCTCTCCCAGTTTGTCTTTCTCATTGATCACTTCTGCTTTTTCCTCCCTTTAAGTGTCTCCAAAGAGCAATGGGACTTTGGGGTCTAAGTTTTCCTTTTAGACCTGATAAAAGGGGTGCATATCTTGAGAATCTTAGTACAAGACGGAAAAAGGCATTTATTCTTAATATCATGTAACCATCTTTCTTTAGTATATTTAGATTCTTGGTGATAGGGAGGAATAGTCGACCTTTTTCACCTCCTACTATTTACCATTGAAGACCCTTAAAAACCACATAAGAAACAAGATACTGAGACAAGATACTTGATTTAAAAAAATCATCCCTTTCTATCTCTGATTATCTACTGGAGCAAAATCCAGTGCACATTGGTGGGCTGCGTTCCTGGCTTTAGCTGTCTTGACTAATGGGAGCAATCCATTTTTCTCCATGTGTCATGGCGGAGTACAAAGAGCCGTTTGAGGATCAGAGGACCTAGTAAAAATATCAGCTATGCCGCTTGGTAGCTGTGTGATCTCAAGCAAATAACCTAACCTCTCTGAGCTGCAAAAATCATTAAGTATCATCTCATTAAACATCGTTGGATTACAGGTTTTGTCATTAATGAGGGAGAAGATACAGACAAAGTTGACCCTGGCATCTTTATATCATCTATTATACCTGGGGGACCAGCTGAAAAAGCTAAAAAGATCAAACCAGGTGCGTCTTTTTAAATTGCCAGAGATGCTGCCTTAAGAAACAGCTCTTTCTTATTTCCTTGATGGTATCTTTGAGATGTTTTATTTTTCTAGGAGGGCAGATACTAGCCTTGAATCACATCAGTCTGGAGGGCTTCACATTCGACATGGTTGTTAGAATGATTCAGAATTCTCCTGACAACATAGAATTAATCATTTCTCAGTCAAAAGGTATGTCTTAACCTGCTTTCAGAAGCCGGAGAGCTTTCTTTATTTTCGGGGGTACATTTTGCCACTGGGTAAAACGGTAACATGGGTAATGGATTTTCAAGTCCATGAAGGCCTTTGGCGTTGTTTCCTCTTGGTAGCAGCTTGCCAAGAAGCAATGTGCTGCACAGATCAGTGAGCTCAGGGGCTGAACGGGCTCTACCTTTGCTTGTCCTGCTGACTGGGCACAGCCTGCTCTGGTTCTTGAGGAGATGTGGCTGATGCAGCCGGCATGTTGTTTTTTGTCCATGCTTCTTGCATGACAGGGAGGACATTCTTTTTTTTTTTGGTTTTTGGTTTTTTGGTTTTTTTTTGGTGAGGAAGATTGGCCCTGGGCTAACATCTGTGCTTATCTTCCTCTACTTTATATGTGGGACACCTGCCACAGCATGGCTTGATAAGCAGTGTGTAGGTCTGTGCCTGGGATCTGAACCTCAGAACCCTGGGCCGCCGAAGCGGAGCACGCGAACCCAACCACTACGCTACTGGGCTGGCCCCAGGGAGGACATTCTTTTTGCAATCCAAGTCCTTTTAGAAAGTGACTGCTCCAGGATTTCTACATAGTTAGGGCTTAGGTGTGGCAATCAGGGAAGGAGACAAGGACTGTTCTTGAAGCTGAAATTGCATAGCAAGCATGCTAGTCTTACTTAAGACAAAGCATAAGAGATCAACCAAAAGAGCAAAGGTTTTTTTTTTTTCTTTTAAGATGCTTTTATTCATCCTTTAGATAACTATGAGAGAGCAACAATTGCCTATATCAAAAAATAATACTATTGTGTTTATTTGGGGCAGGATTGGGAGGATGAGGGGGGTAATGGGGGGATGTTAACATCCCCTTCCCTCCCAGTTCCCTGGCACCACCACTGCTTTTTGGCTGGATGATCCTGTAATTTAACAGTAGACTGCCTGCAAATCCAGGCTCATGGATTTCCTCCTCACACTCCAGGGTCGTTGTACAGTTTCCCCTTGTGTGCAGAAATGCTTGACATCACACCAGCCAGCATTTTCTAGATCCTAAATGTGGGCACTCCATTGGCCTTGCCTTCTGAAAACCATGCACACTCTCTCACTTTCTCACCCGTATACAGCATCACCAGATGGCTTTCCAGGTGTTGTAGCTGCCCCTGGTCCAGAGGCCATGGGCAGATGGCAGGTGGCAAAGCTGGGGCCTCAGCCGTACACCTTTCACCCTGTGGTTAGAGCTGCCCCGGGGGTCTGCCCCGGCACTTCTACAACACCAGCCCCAGCACACTGTCTGTTGAATTTCCCAATATTTTTACTATTCTTCCCACAATATTTTAGCTCGTCTTGCATTTCCCTCCACACTTTGCTTAGCAGTGGGATAGAAGGGAGCACCCATTTTCGTCAGGAAACATAATACAGCTGAGCTGGGATCAATTCAGTGTTGTTCAAGGATGGCCTGCTGTGATGGTGGATGTCGAAAACTGGCACCCAAAGTGTGCGAAACTCAAGCCACAGTCTCACTTTGGAATTTTAGATGATGGATTTCCCACAATGCCTGTGAATTATGTGTCCTCTCGCAATGCTGGCTCATCACAGTTGGGGTTCCTTACACAGCTGTTCCTGTTGCTGGAGGAAGATGGTTCCAAAGTGACGCTGGCTGGATCACTGTGGGCAGAGGCTTGACCGCCATGAATTTCTATCTGGTTAGGCTGCTGTTGGGGCAGGCGGTCTAGAACGGAGGTCAGGGACAAGACAGATAACATCCCGTCATGAGCAGCCATCACTGTCCGTGATAGATTGAGTTTACCCACAGAAGGTCTGCTAGCTTGTATTTCCATTAGGCAGGACACAAGTTGCACAGCTTCACTTTTTAATTCAATCATAAGTCCCATCCGTCTCTTGTGGAAGGTGTGGAAGAAAATGAACAGATGCTTACAACATTGCCAGAAGGACGGTGACAGTAGAATCTGTGAATGAAATGGCCAGGAATAAGGCGTTACAGAACAGTGGTCCCACTGTTCTCTACTGAATACCTTTAGGTTCGAATAACTTCATATCTAATTCATTAAATTAAGTTCATGCAACATGTGAGTTTGGGCACTTCCCTGGGTGCTAATGAATCTGTATGAAAAGTAGTAAACCTACTTGTGTGCTTATATACCCAGATCTAAAGAAAATCTAACTATTATGCCTTCCTCCCACATACATTTGTTGAGCAGCTAATATTAACATATTAAGGGTAAATATATTTATTGAGGCTCTACCCTGTACTAAGCTGTAATCTCTTTGTCTCTCTCTTTGTACATATTCAAAAAATCTCTCTATATATGATCTCTAAGCCTCACCAACCCTATAAGGTAGCTGATATTATCTCTATTTTCGATATAAGGAAATTGAGGTCCAGAAATATTAAATACCTTGCCTGAAGTTTTACCTATTGATTCCTGACATCATGTTCTTTCTTCTGTTCTGTGCCAGGTCAAGGGTCAGACTTGGGGTAGATGGGGGTCAGTGGCCCAGCCTTCACCCGCAGGGAGTCCATAGTCTGGTTAGTAACAAGTGCCCTGAAAGGACTCTACATGTTGGTCTTTGGATCCATGGCGATTAGAGGTGTGCTCAGCAAGGACTCGGGAAGAGGCTGGGTTTAAGAGCAACACCGCATGCTGGTTGTGGGGTATGGGGAAGATCTCAATCCCTTTGACTCTGCTTCTTCATGTTTGAGCTGGGATAAGACCTTCCTGGTGGGTATGTTCAAAAGATGGACAGAAATATATATGTGTGTATTTATGTGCGTTTGTGTCTCTATGTGTGTGTGAGTATATGTGTGTGTTTCTGGGTGGGTGAGTGTTGTGTGTCTGTGTGTGTGTGTGTGTGGTGCCCATCACATGGCAAGAACTTAATGAGGGGGACCTGGCATTATTAACTCATTTAATTGCTCATGTGTTTTCATAATTGGGTCGCACAAGCTCTATTTAAGTTTCAAAATCACATCCAGAATCTTCCCTTCCTCTATTCTAAATGCATCATCATTCAGGAGGTGCTAAACTCACATCGTTCCCAGCAGCTATAAAAGGCCTCTTCCTCTGGAGGAAAACGCTGTCCCCCATAACAGATGCCACCAAGGGCTGTTGAGAGCTGTTTCTGAGCTGTTGAATCTTTGGCTGGTTTTTGTAGGTGTTTGTGGAAATACCCCAAGCAAGGAGAAGAACACAGAGAATTCTGGGCGTTTCTCTACAGACAGCCTGAGCAACGGGCACCAGGGAGGTTTTCCATCACACACACAAGACCAGGAGAGAAATACTGAAGAACTAGAAATGGCTTGGACTCAGAGCTTGATGCCCAGGCTAAGGCCTCAGCTCTCCCCTCTGCCATTAAAGGTAATCTTTCCCTTGGTTCGCTTTCTAGAATTTGCAGGAAAGAGAACAGGCCGTGGAGCCCAAGAGCCCTGGCTCCAAAGTCCCTCTTTGCTCTCTATTTGTCATGTCAGGTAGATAGAGGGGACTTAACCCCTCTGGCCCTCAGTTTTCTCATCTGAAAAATGGACATCAATGCCTGCACTGCATGGTTGTTGAGAAGGATATCAAGGGGAAAAGGCCAAGCTCCTAGCGCAGCGCCTGGGCCACAGGGCTCCGTGTTTGAGCCTCCAGCATCCTTACTCACGAACTGCAATTATTACCGGTAGTAACTTTGGTTGCTGCCAAGGGAAATGCAGGGACAATCAAGCATCTTGGCCTCCACTTGGTCCTTAGGCTGCAACTCAATGGCTTTGCTCTTGACAAGCACACCCAGGGGGAAGCAGACAGAGGCTGGCTTTGGTGGACAGAGAGCTGTGTGCTTCAGTCCCAGGGAACCCCTCCAGCCATGTCTCCTTGGACACTGAGTGGAGTGGTCTCCTTTTGCCCCTTCAGACCTTTCTCCCTTCTGCTCTGGAGCCCTCAAAGCTGACGTTCATGGACTGTGCCAGCCCTCTGGTTGGCTCTGCCCCGGAGAAGCCCTGTGACTAGAAAAAACTCCCTATTTTCCTTTACTGTCACACTCCTACCTCACTCACAGCACTTTTGACACCAGATGTGTGGGCCTCCCACACCAGGCGATTCAGACACTAACTGACCAGAGTTAGCACCAGATCCCACAGTGTGAGTCTCAGTCCCACAAGACCGCCCCCACTTCGGGTGTCAATTGCAGGTAGTAGATCCCCAGGTTACGCAGACTTCTGACTGACTTGGCCACAAATTGGAGGTTCCCACAACCCCTTCCTTGGGTTTGATAATTTCCTGGAGCAGCTCACAGCATTCAGGAAAACAGTTTACTTGTTATTGCTGGTTTATTGCAGAGGATGTTTTAAAGAGTACGAGTGAACAGCCAGATGAAGAGATCCTTAGGGAGAGGTCTGGAAGGGTCCTGAGCGCAGGAGCTTCTGTCCCTGTGGAGTTGGGGTGCACCATCCTCCTGGTACATAGGTGTGTTCACCAACCTGGAAGCTCTCTGAACCTCGTGCTTTTGGGATGTTTATGGGGACTTCATCATGTAGGCATGAGCCGTCATTAACTCCATCTCCAGTCTCTCTCCCCTCCCTGGAGGATGGGGAAGGGGGCTGAAAGTTCCAAGCTTCTAATCAGGGCTTCACCTTTCTGGTCACCAGCCCCCATCCTGAAGCTGTCCAGGAGCCCCCCAAGAGTTGTCTTATTAGAACAAAAGACAGTCCTATTATCCAAGAAATTCCAGGAGATTGAGGAGCTCTGTGTGAGATGCTCCTGTCGCCCCCATCACTCAGGAAATTCCAAGGGATTTGGGAGCTCTGTGTCAGGAACCATGGTCAAAGACCAAATATTAGAACAAAAGATGCTCCTAGTGCTCTTATGACTTAGGAAATGACAAGGGTTTAAGGAGCTCTGTGCCAGGACTGGCGGGCAGAGGCCAATATATATATATTTTCTATTATTTCACACCCTGGTAGGAGCCTGCAGTTGGGGACAAGTGAGGATAGACTTGTCACTCTCTCCGTGTGCTCAGGTTGGTTGATGTCCCTCTCCAGAAGAGCACAGCTCCTATGAGGTGCTCTTCGCCATGGAACTACTCTTTAGGTTCCATCAGCCACCCCCTCCTCTCCCTTCAGCCTCAGAGAAGGTAGCAGCACCCAATGTTCTAGCCCCGCATGCTTAGCTCTCCTTGTTGTTTTCTCTAAATGCTGCCAACACCTTTGAGAACAGGCCTTGCATGAGCTCTCCTCTGCCACCCAAGTTGAGTGCGTGCACCTTCTCTTTCCTTCTGGGCCTCTGGTTCACACAGGCAAGTTACCCCACCTCTCTCAACCTCATTTTTATCTTTTATAATAGAGGTGACTGTGCCTGTCCACAGAGCTGTGGAGACAAACGTGCCCAGGACCTGGCTCGCAGGAGGGCTCCATGAATGTTGGCTCCTTGCTAATTGGCCATGATGCTCACCTGGATGGTGCATCCCATAAAGAGCTGGATGAGGGGCCAGCAAGATAATAATTAACTAAAAGTAGACATTTAGTGAGTGATTAACCATGTGTCAGTCGGGGGCCTGAGTGCTCGTATGTGTTATATCATGTAACCTCCATTACAAGCCTATGAGATAATTACCATCATCAACCCTTTAATGGGGGTCGGGGGTTCCTGAGGCACAGAGAGGAGAGGAATGTGCCATGGTCTCTCCGAGAGTGAGTGGCATACCTGGGATTCAAATCCAAGGAGTGGGACTCCAGAGCAGGAACCTTCACCCCAGGGCTGCACTCCGGAAGGCCCTGTTTGCAGGAAGCAGGGCCGAGAGGGCTTCAGGTTGGGGCCTCTGGGGCTGCACACCTGTGAGCTGGTCCTTGGCAGGCAGTTGAGGGGAGTGATGGTGCTTCAAGGCCACGGCTGACCATGACATGGGCTGTAGAACCCGTACAGTCCCGGCTCTGCTGGGTCACGTGGCCAGCTCTGTGAGCAGGTAACCTTCGGCGGCACGGTCAAGTTGACACTCTTGCACTTTGGACCTCATCCTCAGTGGTTGCTTTACTCTTTGAATTTTAAAATTTGGACAAGACAAATGGGGTGTGGAGTGTCTCTGGACAATCGGGGGCTCGTCTGTCACTATACCAGTCTCTTTGGAGCCTCTTCTGTTGGATTGATAATTTTTTGCCTTATTTCAGCCTGTTTATTTTCTTATGTATTATTGTATTTTCCAACCTGGTGCACCAGGAAGCAGCTAAGCAAACGGGGCAGATAGGACATAATGCTGGGAGTGTCAGTGGCTGCCTTCTGGGGACAGCTCATTAACAGTTTCTCCCCCACTGGACAGTGGTTCAATCTGGGCAGTGTCTTACCACTGCCATCCCCCCAGCAACTTGCACAGTGCCTGGCACTGCATAGGTGCTCAGTTAACGTTGTCACATGATTGGATGAATGAATAAACCAATCATACATAGTTTTTGCCATAGTGCACAGCAAGATGCCTGGCACGTGGTAGATAACTCTTCTCCTCTGTCCTTCCCTCCAGACTTCAACCACTGTAAAGTAGGGACCCAATGCATCTACTCTGGCTAGGGGTGATTGTAGGTCCTCCTGAGGTTCTCTCCTATTTGAGAAGCTGCTGTGTGTCTGGTGTCCAGCATGCCATCACTTGGCCGGTGGCATGTGTGAAGAGACCAGGAAGTGCTTGGATGACTTCACTTCTCGTCATGATATTTGCATCTTGGATGGAAACAGGAGGGGACCTCCATTTATTGAGCCCTGCTGTGTGTTGGGCATCATTCACAGTTACAGTTAGAAGGAGATCTCTCATTCTAGTTTTGTGGATTGGGAAACCCAGGCTGGAGAGACCAAGAGACCGGTCCAGGGTCACACGGGGGGAGCTGATAAAGCTGGGAATGAATCCCTTGTTGGCCCAGCTCTGAAACTCCTGCTCCTTTGGGTGTGCAATGTGGCCGGCTCCTGAGAGCAGGTGAGAGCTAAGAGGTGCCATCTGCTGAGGCGTGGTAAGTGCCTTCATGCCTTCTTTATTTTTGTCTGTCTGTTTGGGGCAGGGTGCTGGTTCTTCTCATCCTCCATCACCTTCAGAAACCGATGCCAGTGAAATCTACTTCGTGGAACTGGTTAAAGAAGATGGGACACTTGGATTCAGTGTGACTGTAAGAGTTATTAGGAGAGCTTGGAAAGTAAACAGTTGAAAAGATGTTCTTCTGGAGCCTTAGTGGGCATTCCACTCTTCATAATGTGCTCCTTGGGTGCAAGCAGCGCGTGGGAAGTGGGTGAACCAAGAAAGTCGGTGCAGGCCTGCATGGGGGATGGGAGTTCAAGGACAGGCTGGGAGACACAGGGCAAATGTGGGGTGAGCAGGAACTCCAAGCAGTGTGGGTGGGACTGGGTGAGGGGTCCTGACTCTGAGGTTACCCTGGACAACAAGGCGAGGGCAGCAGGGCTGCGGGGACATAAGCTAAGGTGAGTGGAGTACTCCACGGTCACCCACCCAGGGTCACCGTGGAGCTCCCACTTCCAAGGCCAGGACAAGTCAGGTTGGCAAGACCTCTGTTCAGGACGGACACTTTGCATTTGGTTTCAAGTTCTATTTGGCAGACCCTGGACGAGAGAGGAAAAAAACTGTACAAGAATGATATAATCCCACTGATGTCAAAATCTGTATTTTTGTGTGTACATATGCATGAAGAAATTAGAAGAAAAAGATAGAGATCTTTATCTAGTGACCCGTTCATGATCTATTGTTAAGTGAAAAAAAAAAAAAAAGTTGCAGAATATCGTGTAGTTTAATTCCACTTTTGTATCCACAAAGCAACACACAAGCATACAGGACATGTCAGGCACCAGCCTTTGGGCCTGTGGCCAGACCCAGGGCCTGTACTGGTCCCTGCTCATGGACAGACGCTGTGGTGCGTTGATGTGACTCTGATTTCTGAGCACCTGCCGGGGGCCAGCGCTGAGGCTGGATACGGCACAGCTGCCTCACCAGCCCGTGTTGTTATACTTCTTGCGAGCACCTAACCTTGCTGCTCGGTGGATAACATGGTCCAAACCAACAAGGGGATGTATAAGATGGTGTCACCTGGAGACGGGTAGCGTAGCAGGCAGTTGGGCTCTCTTGGGAGGTTGGGGAGGCCCTCCCAGGAGGAGGCAGACGGTGGTGAGTTTTTCATCGTGTTTTCTAGGGTGGTGTCAACACAAGCGTGCTTTATGGAGGTATCTATGTGAAATCCATCGTTCCTGGAGGGCCAGCTGCCAAGGAAGGGCAGATCCTGCAGGGTGAGAGATGGAGTTCTGTGGGACTCTGCATTCTGTGGTGTGATGAGCCCTGGCCTGGGAGGTGCAGCCTGAGACCTTGTACAAGCGATTGCTCTCCAGCTCACGGTTTCCTCAACCGGAGAAGGGGGTGATTTGACCTGGCCCACCCACTTGTTAGGTTAACGTGGGGATCAACTGTTTGTAGCGGCACATTGGGAAGCATGAGGTGATTTAGAAATATGAGATTTTCAATAAGCTTGTTGCTGTTTGGCCTTCATGGGAGAAAGTAGTGCTTCCCATGGAGGACAGAGTGCACATCAGTGACCCCAACTAGTATCTGGGGGGGACACCACCAGCCTCCTCTCTGCCCTTCCTCACATCCACTGCTTTGAAGGAAGGGGGTGATTTTTGCTGTTCTCCAAAACAGCCAGAATTGAGCTAAAAAGGGCACCCGAGAGCTTGCTTATCTCTATTTTCCCTAGAATTCCAGTGTCCCTGGCATCAACCAGGTCTCCTGAACCTTTTCTGAAATAAAAAATATCCTGGGGATATAAATATTACCCCTAAGCGACTTGAAAAAACTTTCAACAACAGTTTCTCAGGAGAACAGGAGAAGGAGTGAGGTTGTACAGAGCTGGCTCAACCACTCAGTGAGCCAGTAATAGAAAGACTTCTAGACCATTGACCTGTGAAGGTGTTCAGGGAGGCCCTGGCCCACAGGCCCAGGCAGGGCTCCTCGCAGCTCTGCTTCCCGTCCCTCCTTGAGGCTGTGTGGAGGGGCGCGGGGCAGGGGCCTCCCAGAAAAGTTGTCCCTGCAGCCCAGGAGCCCTGGGCTATGACATCTCTCCCCCTCCCAGGTGACCGGCTCTTGCAGGTGGATGGAGTGAGTCTGTGCGGCCTCACCCACAGGCAGGCCGTGCAGTGCCTCAAGAGTTCTGGGCAGGTGAGTGCACCGTTCCTGGAGCTCCCCTTCCTTCTGGTGATTTCCCGACAAGGGGGGCGGGGGAAGAGTCAGGAAACAAAACAAGACTTTTTCTTTGCTTTTTTTCTCTTTCACTTCTTCCTTGTACCAACACTTTTCTATGGGGATGTTAAACCCAGGAAGAAGCAGACAGATGTTCCCAAGCAGAAAACCTCACCATCTATAAATAACCTTGAAGAGCTTCCTTGTCGCTTGCCTCCATTCTGGAGTCAGACAGCTGCACAGGGCTGATGGAGTGAAGTGAGCTCTCCTGCCCGGCTCTGGCTGCCCCTCACGCTCTCTGCTCCAGGCCTATCTGACCAGGGCTTCTGTCTGCTCCCAGGCCCTCTCACCCGCCGGCCTCCGCACGTGCTGACAGAGCTCTCCCAGTTCATGCTGTTCCCAACACCCTGTGTGGTTACAGGCCATGCTATCCTGGGATTCTTATCACAGTGAGGTAGAAATTCAAACACCAAGGGCTGGAGGCATTCACCATCATGTGCTCCTCATTCTGTGCAGTGCCCAGGCAGCATTGGGATGTTATCATACTGTTTTCCTACCTCTGTCTGAGGGTGGGAGCCTTTGCTTGCCCCATTGTCCTAAGCCACAGGGCTGGCTTCGCCCTCTTGGTAATGAGGGCGTTGGCAGGGACAGAAAGGACTCCTGGGGGCCCTTCTGGCAAACTGAGCGGCAGAAGGAACCCTTTTGCTTCCCTTCCCAAAGCAGTCTTCTGGTTTGTGGTGGGATTTACCTGTATTGGTGACCTTTATTGACATATCTCGAGTACAGAGTCACAATTTATTAGTACTCTCTGTTCTTTAGACTTTTGCTAATGAACATGGTTAGAGAAGGTCCTTGGCCAGCCTACTGGCGGTAATGACAGGTAGGAATTGTTGCTCTGGGATCATGGCTTGGTGCTGAATGACAATTGCAGCAGAAGGATGTTGGCTTCCAGATGCTTTGGGTAACCAGAGTCTAGAGTGCATGGGGAAGAAATAGGGCCTGGGATACATGCTAGGGTGTGGGCTTTAGGTGATGGGAAACATTGGAGAGTTTTAATCAAGAGTGTTCCATGTTCAATGTGTATCTGAGATCAATCCATGGGTACCCAGGAGGGGAGTGGACCGAAGCAGGAGAAGATAGGGTCCAAGAAGCCAAGTTAGCTGCAGCTTGCCACAGTCCAGCCGGACACTGGCAGCGGGAGAGGGAATGGAGGAGGGGAGAGCCCTGGGGGAGATGTTTCTGATGGAGAACATGCAAGCCTTAGAAACCAGATGGGTGTTTGGAGGGCAGAGGGGAAGAGCTGGACCACTGCAAGTGTGGCCCCTGGGAGGATGGTTGAGAGATGCTTCCGTGTTCTATGACAGCCAGTGCAAGGGAGGAATGTTTTAGGCAGAATGGGGTGGAATAGGGGAAGTGAGGGTGAGTGAAAGGAAGAAGATGAATTTGGCCTTAAATACCCTGAAGTGGAGGTACATGTGTTACTTCCAGGAGTATTTGTCCAACAAGCCATTGGAAATATGGCTCTGGATCCCAAAAACTAGGCTAGATTGGAGATTTTGATTTGACATTCAGACGAAGCAGCTCCTGGAAGTATCAGGAAATTAGGAAGCATTTGCAGGCTAAAAGGAGAGCCTCCTGGTTGCCATATGAAGTGTAAATTGAGTTTCTCCACCCATCCTTCTAGGTTGTAAGACTCTTCTTAGAGAGAAGAGGCCCCAGGACCGCACAGCAGTGTCCTTCTGCTAATGACAGGATGGGAGATGAATGCACGGCTGTTTCCTTGGCAACAGCCTCGCCTGGCAGGCCCGCAAGCTGTGTCTCCGTGACAGATGGTGAGAAGAGAGAGAATTGAGTGTTACTATTGTCATGTCATCCTGTGCTGCTTTTGAACTGTCAGCTCAAAAGGGAAAGCAGGACGGCTTCCTCTGGGTTGTTAAAAGATAGTGAGCAGTGGTGGTCATGACGCAGCCAGCTTTCTGACACGGTAAAAGTCAATCTAATGGAATATGTTTCTGGAAAAAAAAATGCACTATCTCATAATGATGACCAGGCATAATTCTGTCCCTAAGCCTTCTGAGGTTTTCTGGTCAGCTGCCAGAATGTTTGTGTTTAAATATTTAGGGATGAAATTGGAGTGAAAGAGTCAGGCAGTTTCTGACCAAAGCTCGATGTTTCAGTCAAGACACTCATAACAGACAGTCTGAGGAGTGAGGAGGTAGTTGGGGAGAGGGAGGTGCTCAGAACCCTAGCCTTGTTATTAGCATCATTTAACAAAGCAAACCTCCGGTCCATTTCCAGGGGCATCATTGCACATCTTCTGATGGGGTGCCTCTCTGCACCTTCCTGTGATTCTGTTTCCTGCTAGGAAAACTTTTATTTCCTTAGTATATCATGATTTGGAGCTTGGCCATTTTTCAGTCTCTTTATAGAGATTTTCCTGAAGGTGTAAGTCAGGTTGAACGCAAGGGGTAGCCGCAGCGAGTGATGGAGTTGAGTGGAGGGGGAGCACCTGTGCGTAAATCAAGTCTGTTTCGTCTTTCATCGCTCCTCTGCTCACTCCAGGAGGGCCTTTCAGAAACTGACTACGAGACGAGGTGAGGGGCCAGATGGTGGCGATGGGGAACTCGGTCATATGGCACAGCTGAACCTGAAAGCTTCTGACGCTTTCATTCTTGCTCCTGATCAAAGTTTACCCGTCAGGGCTCCGTCCCTCTGTTGACTGATTGCCAACTGAGCTGGCGATGGCAGACTAGGGTAGACCCAGAGGCCTCTGTCTGTCAGATGACCGAGGTTCCCGGGGCTGTGCCCATCTTTGATGCCGAAGGGTAGCTGTTTCATCTTACGGTCAGTCCACGCGGCTGAACAAACAGTAGCTAAAACATTTCCATAGAGTTGACCATAGTTATCTCCACAGACTAATTCCACCACATTTTGTTTCGAGTATACTAAAAAATGATTGAGGTTCAAAGTAGTAATAGGAATATGTGTGAAACAAGTTTTACTAAATGATATGGGCATACTGTGTATGTCTATAAACTGTATCTTTACATATAAACTTTGTTGATTACCTAAAATTGCTCTGTCCAATATGGTAGCTACTTGTCACACGTGGCTATTGAGTACTTGACATGTGGCCAATCCAAATTGATAGAATACATACTCGATTTTTGATGACTTAGTTCATAAGAAGAATGTAATATATCTCATTGATAATTTTTTTCATATTGATTACATGTTTACATGGTAATATTTTAGATACATGGGGTTAAATAAAATATGATTGTTTATTTTACCTATTTCTTCTTACTGTTTAAAATGTAGCTATTTAAAATATGTAGTTTGCATTTGTGGCTCACGTTCTATTTCCATTGGACAGCACTGATCTATAGCATGTATAATGGACTCTGTCATAAAAATTAGCCACATGAAATCTCTTTATGTAAAACAGAAATGATTTGGGGCTGGCCTGTGGTGTAGTAGTTAAGTTCATCATGCTCTGCTTTGGTGGCCCGGGTTCGCGGGTTCGGATCTCGGGCGCGGACATACACCACTCGTCAGCCACGCTGTGGTGGTGACCCACATACAAAGTGGACGAAGATTGGCACAGATGTTAGCTCAGGGACAATCTTTCTCAGCAAAAAAAAAAACCAAAAAACAAAAAACCCAGAAATGATTCATCTACTTGACAGTTTTCATTTTGAGGCTGATCAACTTCATTTGTAATCTACCGAAGGATTTATCTTGTTCACATCCCACAATACAGGTGCTAAGTTTGAAGTCAAACTGAAAAAGAACGCCAGTGGTTTGGGGTTCAGCTTCGTGCAGATGGAGAGAGAGAGCTGCAGCCATCTCAAGAACGACCTTGTGAGGATTAAGAGGCTCTTCCCGGGGCAGCCAGCTGAGGAGAATGGGGCCATTGCGGCTGGTGACATCATCCTGGCCGTGAACGGAAGGCCCACGGAAGGCCTCGTTTTCCAGGTGGGAGGCCGTGAGTGAGGTAGCCCTGTGTGCAAGCTGACGTCAGCCGTGCTTCTCCCAGGCCCACCCACCGTTGGGAATACTCTGGGTTCTGGAAAATCATATCTGGAGCCTGGACTTGATTACAATTGGCAGAACATGCTCACATTTAACTTTCCATCCCGCTTCTTAAGTATCTGACCTTGAGGGAGCCTTGCTTTTAATTAGGTTCACAATGAAACTGAAGCTAAACCCCTGGCTTCTGTGCTGGCTAACGGTCTGCTAACATGCATTCCGCGAGATGGGTGAGAGGCTGAAGGGTCTTCAGTGGGGCCCTGTCTGCCCTTCTTCCCATTCCTCTGTTAAATTTACAGCTTTTGACATATAGTGTTGCACTGGTTATCCTGTGTATGATAAAACGTATAATTAAAAAAAGAGAGTGAAAAGCGCACTTCTCAATGTCTATAGCAGAAAATCGCAGTGAAATATTGTGCGTATCAGCCGGGGTCCTGGCAGGAAACGGAGTCATTTGAGGAGAGTTGAACACAGGTGTGGGCTGCTTATTGGGAAGCTCAAGGGAGCGTGTAGAGCCCTGGGGCTGGGAACCGTGGATGCAGTCATCCACGCCCCAAGTCCAAAGGGACGTGGGAAGGAGAAATTAGCCCCAGAAACTGGGAGCGGGGTGGAGCAGACCCTGCCCGTTTCCAGCCCAGCTCTGGTACATCACCTTTGTGGGAACCGCAGACTGGTGGCCTTGGCTCCTCGCACTTGGGGAAGTCAGGCCCACGGTGGTGTTCTCCAGAGTTCTCTGGGGCTGAGAAGCAGATCAAGGTGAGGGGTGGGGGGCCCAGCACCAGGGAGATGGGGGGGGCACAGAGGAGGAGACCCCGCAGCTGTGCCAGCCCCACGTCTAACCGCGGAGTGTGGTTTCTCGCAGGAGGTGCTCCATTTACTGCGAGGAGCCTCGCAGGAAGTCACGCTCCTGCTGTGCCGACCCCCTCCAGGTGCGCTGCCTGAGATGGACCAGGGGTGGCAGGTAAGATGCGGTGTCCTCTGCTCTCTCCACGGGCCTCATGCTCAGGCCCCTTTTCATGTCTGGTGGGTCCTGAGGAGCCCAGCTTGGTGTTACGTCGGGTTCAACACCACCTTCTCTCTCTGGGGCAGGACAATAGCTGGCCCCCAAGCTCCATTAGTCTGTGACCGTTCAGGAGGCCCTGTGTCTGCCTTCGCCTTCCCCTCCCTGCTCCTGCCTCTCTCAACGTCTGGGTCTTCCTGTAGATGGTTATATGTTTAGAACTTTAGGCCGTGAAACTTCTAGAGCCAGGCTCCCTGGCAGCCCAAGGATCAAAGTAAGGAAACTGGGAGCAAGGAGAGTAGGTATGAAACCAGACCAAGGGAAAGTAAGAATTTCCATTCTGAGGAGTGAAGTGGAAAACAGGATACATGTCCACCATCCTAAAGCATGAATTAGACACATAGGTCTAGTGCAAAGAAAAGAGGCTTTGGAATCTGGAAAATTCGGAATTTTTACCTTGGTGCCTGTGTTAGTCAGGTTCTCCAGAGAAATAGAACCAATAGGATGTGTATGTGTATATGTATATACAGAGCCTCTACCTCTATCTCTATCATTGTCTCTGTCTGTATCTATATAGGGAGAAAGATTTTAAGGAACTGGCTCACGTGGTTGTGGGATTGTGGGGGCTGGCCAGTCTAAATTCTGTAGGGTAGGCTGGCAGGCTGGAAACCCAGGGAGGAGTTGATGTTGCAGCATGAGTCCTAAGGCAGCCTGGAGGCAGAATTTATTCTTTCTTGGAGATCTCAGTCTTTTTCTCTTAAGGCCTTCAACTGATTATATGAGGCCCACCCACATTATGGAGGATGATTTGCTTTACTCAAAGTCTATTGATTTAAATGTTAATCTCATCTAAAAAATACCTTCACAGAAACATCTAGACTAGTGTTTGACCAAATATCTGGGTACCGTGGCCTAGCCAGGTTGACATATAAAATTAACCTTCATAAAGCCACCTGTTGGGTGCCTGGGACACAGACTCTGCGGCAGGGATTCAAGCGCAGGAAGTATATAGAGCCAGCTCTTGGGACATCCAGTAAGGGTGAGGGAAGCAGGGCTGGGGGGAAGGGGAAGTTAGTGCGGTGCCGCTGCAGTAGGGGCCTTGGCTGACACAGGGGGCCCTGGAGCTGGGATGGCCTCTCAGAGCTGTCGTGAATTGGGGCAGGAAAGCCTGTGCCTTTGCACCCTGCATCACCCAGCATGGGGGCGTGGGCTGCCCCACAGGGGTGGCTGAACTTTGGCTGAGGCGGCTCCCTTGAGCTGAGCCCGATTCCTGGGGAGGGGCCAGCTGTGAGCTGTCAGGAGCCGGCACTCCTGGCAGCTGGGAGATGAGAGCCTCAGTCCGGGAGGGGGATGGTGTGGGCACCTTGGAACCACCTGCACCTGCTCTCACTCGCTTGCTGCGTGGGCCCTGGGCACTTGTCTAACTTTTCCAGGCCTCATGATTCCTCATCTATAAGACGTGGATAAAATCGGTCACTTACCGTCACTGAGGGTGACAGTCACTAGAGACGGCATAGGGGATTTGGTGACCTAGATCCTCTTAATTCTTGGACTCCAAAAGTGCATTTGATACAGACTTTGGTGAGAAAAGAGCTATGGGAGGGAAATCAGAAAGTTGCCACTTTGGGAAAGAAGGTAGATGGTGTGTTAAGTACCTGAACAGGGTGGGAGCAGGTCAAGTTTCACACGCAAAGATCAGGCCAAGGGGCTTGTTCCCTGTGTTGTTGTTGAGCCACCTGGGAAATGCCAGGGAAGATGTCTTTCTGTATCCTCCTGTTCTGAGGAGAATAGCTGCTCCCAGGAGAGCCCAGAAAAGCGTAGTGGGGAGGGCTTGGGCTGAGGTGCGGTGAGCTTGCTTTCCCTCTCCTCGTACCTGACGGCCACATGGAAGAGAGTTGTCATGCATTCATAGGGCTCCAGAGGTCAGATTGAACACCAAGGAAGGGAGCATTTAGTTCACAAGTAGAAAAGCAGTTATGAGAAGGAGGCAGCCGTACAGACATCTGGAGTAGGTCATTCCAGGCAGAAGGGATAGCAAGTGCAAAGACTCTGAGACAGGAATGAGCCTGGACATTTGAGGGACAGAAGGTAACAGATGTGCCTGGACTGTAGTTACTGAAGGTGAGCGTGGAAGGGGACGATGTTGTGGAGGGAGGCAGGGGCCACATCAGGTAGGGTCTTGTAGGTCTTGGTGATGTGCTGATTCTATCCTGGCTGCAATGGGAAGCCTTCGGGCTGGGACTGCTGGGAGAGTAAAGAGTTGAGCAGGAGCATGCCCTCATCTGGTCTAGACTTTAGAAAGATCACTCAGGCTGCTGGTGGAGGTGGACTGGAGCCAGGAAGCCAGCAGACATTGGGGTACGAGATTATTGTGGCCTGGACTCAGGTTGTAACTGAATAGTTGGTAAGAAGTAGTCAGATTTGGGATATGTCTGGGAGGCAGAGCCTGTGGGATTACCTTTGGACTAGATGTGGGTATGAGGAAAAGGAGCAATCCAAGTTTGGCTTGAGCAACTGGATGAATGGTGGTACGACTTACCAAGACCGGGAGTGCTTAGAGGGAGCAGGTAAGGGTAGTCCGCGGAGGAGAAGCAGTAGTTCCTGACAGCATGCAAAACCAAAATGTGTCTGGAACAGCCACCAGAGACGGCTATCAGGCAGTCATTTGTGGAGAAGTGGTATGAAGTCAGCACTGGGAAAAGTGGATTTGGGAATTGTCAGCAAATAATGCCATTTAAAGCCGTGAAATGGACCAGATCATCTTGGGAAAGAGTACAGATAAAGTCAAGAAGAGGGCTGAGAAGTGAGCCATGGGACACTCCTACATTGGGAGGCCTGGTTCAAAGAAATGAGACAGCAAATGAGACTGAGAAGAAGGGGCCTGGCAGGTGGGAGGAAACGAGGAATGGGCAGAGTTCAGAGTAAACCCCATGCTTAAGTGAGTAAGTGAGTAAAGGGTGCTCTCAAGAAGGAGAGAGGGACCAATTATGCTGAATGAGATGAGGACAGATAATTGTCCTTTGGCTTTAGAAAGATGCAGGTCGTTAGAGACCCTGATTAGAGCTCTTTCAGTTGAATGATGGGGACAGAAGCCTGGTTGGGTAGGTGCAGGGAGAAAGGGGGAGATGCAGAAATAGTGAGTATAGACTGTCGTTTGAAGAGCAGAGAAATGGGGTGGCTGGCAGGTGGAGGAGGATGCTGGGATGGAGATGCAGGCTGGTCCATGGAGTCTGCCATGGGGAGGAGAAAGGTTCTTATCTGAATGTGCCCATGCTCACTGTGAAGTAAGAGGCAAGGTGGGGTGGGGGGATTGTCGGAGACTTGAGGAGAGAGAAGATGAGAAATAATTTAGAAGGTAGAGAGAACAAGAAACTGGATTTACTAAGGAAGTAGAGAGAGATTATCTGGCAGTCTTGAGTGTCCATTTGACTTCTGCAGTCACACATTTGACATTAGTCAGTGGCTCAGAGGCAGGCCACTGTGAAGTCCACAGATAGTGTCACTAGGACGTGGAATTAAATTATAGCACCTGTGAGTAACATATGATGGAGGCAGAGGGGGACAAGAGGATGGGAACTCAGAGTTTTCTTTGTTTTCAAAAGAGTGATTATGGGGCAGAGCCATGGAATCTAAGCAGAGTGAAAGGGAAGTGAGGACATTGCGGGGGAGGGTGAGCGGCGCATCTATTGGAACCTTGAAGAGGTGGAAGGGTTGCTGGAGAGAGAGTACTGGGGATGAGGAGCCAGAGGGAGAGGGACGGTTAAAAATGAGAGTTGGGAGGGCTCCCAAGGAGCATAAGAGAAAATGTAACTGTGCTTACTGTTTCTTTTTTATCTGCTCCATTTCAAATTTTGATTTTTGGTATACCCTTTATAATGTACATTATGTATAGTAGAGTTGTGTTTATGGTTTATAATTAAGTAAAAGTTCATATTTGGGGGTGTATCCCCCTCTCATTGTGGGGAGTGGGCAATCAGAAAGGTAAGGAGACCAGTGTGCTGGGTGGCAGAGGAAAGGTTCCCCTGTTATAGGTGAGGGCGGGGGCAGGTCACAGCCCTGGTGGCACGGAAATCCGTGTGCTCTATGACACCAGGGAGATAGGTCATGGGTGGAAGTGCTAAAAGATAATTTTCAGGAGAAGATAAAATCATGACTTGCACATAGATGTAAAAATGAACACACATTCAAGATTTGATCTCAGTCATTCAGTGAGGAAACACAGCAGGTGTTAAAACTGGTTCAAAAGGGGTTTCAAAGAATAACATGTTTATTTTTGCAGGGTTAAGAATTAACTAAAAGCAACGAATACAGCTAGAATCAGATAACCCAGAACGTTGTGCTATAGACAATGCACAGTTTCCTTTTGAAGCACCGATTTTTTTTTTCTTATAAAAAGTTGAGCAGTGTTAGCACATCATAGTGGGCTATCAAAATCATAGCCTAAAGGGCCCAACAGGGGTGTAAGCAGTTAAGGAGAATCAAGTAATGTCTGGAGAGGTGAGGAGGAGACCCAGGAAGCGGCATCCTGATGGGAAGGGGTTGAGGCTGCGAAAATGGGCTGTCTTGGATGAGGACAGATGCAGACAGAGAGACTTTTAAAAAAATTTCTTATTGGAGATAAAGAGTCATTGTTACTTCTGTTTTCATATTTTCTAAGTTTACAAAATATTTTTTATTTAAAAAAACAATGCTTGCATTTATTGAGAGCTTCTAACGTCCCCAAGCTAAGGGGCCGAGCGATGGTTAAGTGCGTTGCCAAGGGCCCGGTGGGAGCTGGGGTCCTGACAGAGGGCACTGACCCCAGGGCCCATCTCTTAACTGCTCTGCTCTATAATCACATTAAAAAAACATTATTTTGGGGGCCAGCCCTGTGGCTTGGCGGTTAAGTGCACGCGCCCCGCTATTGGCGGCCCGGGTTTGGATCCTGGGCGCACACCAACACACCGCTTGTTGGGCCATGCTGAGGCGGCGTCCCACATACAGCAACTAGAAGGATGTGCAACTATGACATACAACTATCTGCTAGGGCTTTGGAGAGAAAAAGGGAAAAATAGGAGGAGGACTGGCAATAGATGTTAGCTCAGGGCTGGTCTTCCTCACAAAAAAAACAAAAACAAAAACAAAAAAACATTATTTTTTGAAGAAGTAATTTTTAGATCTTGTTCGGTGTGCACTATGGATCCAGTAATCCTTAGCATTTCTTTTAATAGATACCCATGCTCTCAGCAGACAAAGAACTTACCAGGACAACGTGCACGGACACAGAGCAGAGCCCCAGCCTGGATCAGGAGGATAGTCGGAGGGACAGTGCCTCCCTGGACACAGGGGAAGGCCTGGGTCTCAAGCCAGAGTCTTTCCAAAAGGCCACCAGAGAGGCACAATGGGACCAAGATGTAGAGAGACCCTGGGCCATTTCCTTGATGTGTCCTCAGGATTCCCATCCTCATCTATGCAGACTTCACCAAGAAATGGATGCATCAACGTTGGCCACCTCTTTGGAAAAGGATGTGAGGCAAAACTGCTATTCGGTTTGTGATATCAGGAGACTTGACAGGTAAGAATCACCACGTCTGCAGGCATTTTGTAAACTGTATGCTTTCCTTGCTAGAAATTACAGTCAAGCAATCAAGGACTATGCTCAGATGCTTGCTGGGCCCAGCACTGTTCTAGGCATTTGGAGAGGAGGTGGAGACAAGAGAAGCATGAGGTCTGAGCTGCTGTAACCACAGCTTGTGAGCCTTTGGGAAAGAAAACCCCACCCAGTGGTCCTCTGATACCCTTGAAGCCTACAGGCGGCAGGCCTCGGGGGTCTTTCCCAGCACACACACCTTTGTCCTGCATCCCGCAGGACCCCTCAAAGCACTGTGGTAAGAAAGAAAAGTCCCCTTGTATGTATGCACCATCATTTCTATTGCTAATACAGTGCTTTACAATCAACATCAGCTTAAAAAAAACACATCTACATCTTCAAAACCAGGCTGAAACGTTCACTTTAATAGCCATTTTTAACTTAGCCTGCATTTGTGTGCCCCTTCCCCTCTGCTCCCCAGCCCTCCCCTGCCCAGTATTTTCAGTTCTCAGTCCTGTTCCGATGGAAAACATACTCTTTGATTCAGTCTGGCAGTATTTATTACAGTCACCCAAAGTGCATGGAAACCTGTTAGGAGCAGAGAGCAGGATACCAATCTTGGGAGAGGGTACGATACTGCTCCTAGGCAGTTATCGGCAGTGTGCTAGCTGGTTCCCCAGGCACAAAGCACACCGGTAACCAAGAACAATGGTTTGTTTTTGCCGCTATATAAACCCACCGAGATTAGATGGCTCTTTTCTGTTGGTCATCCTAGAAGACTGACAAGGGCAGATCTATAGGGACGGTAGGTGACATGAAGGAGGAAGCAGCCGGTGTGATGCAGGCAGGCAGGGTGAGATGTATGACACACTGAGCCAGGCATACGTTCCTGGAAAGCATTCACGTACAATTCTAACAAGACTGCTGTGCCATCCAAACAGAGACAAGCTAGTTTACAAAGTAGAACAGAGGGCCAAGCCCCGTCATCGGTGGTGTTCATTTTCATTGTCTGAAAACACATAAACACCAGTGGATTTATAGTTCCCTACAATTGCATTCCAGGCAATAATTGGTATACTTGATCAAATGATAAAGGAAATAACCTTTAGGGATTTATCCAAGGACAACTATTAGTGTGAGCTGGTAGGAAATATAAAAGGAACCGTACTTCCCTGTAGGCATGGGGCCACTCTTTCGGATTTTTAAAGGTTTTACTGCCAGATAGTTTGGGGTGATGGACAGAGAACGTGAGTGCTGCGTTGTAAAGTGACTCTGGGTTTAGGTAATAGCCTGGAGTTTGACTTGTCATGTGCCTGTAATCTAATATAGTTATCAGTTGTTAATAATAGTATTATTATTATTTTTTTTATTAATTATTAGTATAGGTAGTCACTGTTTCATTTGTGGACTCAGAGTCTCATGGCTATTCAATAAAATAAAAGATCTAATCCAACTTCATACCCATGCTGGAATCTGCTCTGTACCATCCCCGAAGTAGGGGGCCTGCCTTGGCTTGAATACCTTCAGGGGTGCGGGACTTGCTACCTCTCGAGGTGGCCCATTTCATTTTCATGTAGTTGTTAAGCAGAAAGTGCTTCCTTATATTAAGGGGAAATCTGCCTTTCTCTATCTTCTAAGTAGACACCTATTTCCTCCGATCTTTTTGTCATTCCTTTTTTTTTTTTCAAGAAACATCATGTTATTTTATTTTTCTGGATCAAATTAAATTTGGCTTAGTAGCTCTACTTGCAAGGGTATACCAGATGTCCAAAATCTGCCATCCTTGGAGAGGGTTGTCCCATCTCAGAGTTACGCAAGAGTCCTGAGGGCTTGATTTTTGCTGTATCTTCTTTTCCCCACTCAGGAATGTTTTTGTCTCCCTGAGGGAAGGATTCAAGCCATGTTAGCATCTTCTCCAACGAGACATTGGCTTGCCCTTAACCACACATAGTTAGTGACTGCCCCCTACAGGAGGAAAAGCATAGCACATGCCCAGCCATCTCTGAACACAGCTTCTCCAGCTCCTGGTGGGGGTGTGGCTCTTTGCAAACCCCCCTTAGAAGTGTCTGCAGCTCCCTTCTGAGGTTGCTGTCCCAGGCAACTGCCTCTTTGTTTCTGACATCTGTGAGTCAAGCTCTCTTTCTGCAGCTTAGAACAAAACGAGCACGGACTTCTTGATCATATAACCTTGGTTTCAGCTTTACCATTTACTAGTGTGCCTGGAAAGTTGACCTCCCTGAGCTGGAGGCTTCTCAAATGTAAAGGAAGACTGTGACAATTCCACAGGGCACTGTGCAGGTCAACAGCAATGACAGCGCAGAGTGCTGTCACAGCACCTGGCACACAGCAGGAGCTCAACACCAGTCAGTTTTCTTTCCCTGTCCTGAGCTATTTCCAGCTAAAAGACAGGTCCCATCAATCAAAATTCTCAGCAAATTGCCAGAACTTACCATCTGCCAGGTGGCTACTTCCTAAAGCCAGATGGGCTGCCCGCACCCTGGTAAACCCAGAGTGTTCATAGAGAAGATGAGATATTACCTTTTCTTCCTTGTTCTCTTCTTTTACCACACTGCGTGTCTGGAGACTCTACCATATAGTAGTAGATCTTTATGCACCATGTTGTAATAAAGAAGCATAGTACATTTTCATGGAGGGACGTCGGAATTATGTGCCTGTCGGAGGGAGGACTTGGCACTAGGCATCAGTTACATCTGATGCAGGGTTAGTTTCTAAAGTTAGGGCATAAGGCAAAAATCACAAGTCACGTTACCTTTGGATGTCACGTTGGAAGGTGTGATGTTATTTGCTCCCCTTGTGTGGGAGCAGATCGCATTTTCTTTGGTAGAGCCTCAGAAGAAGTCTGGTGGTTTGTGTTTATGGGCCATGCTGTCTGCAAAGTGCTTATCTTTACATGCTGGCCTCATAGGAATGAGGGGATGGCAGATTCAAGTCTCCCGCTCGTGTTCACTTCAGGGTCCATACTCAATGAGTGGAAAGTTGGTCATTGCAGAATGTTTAGGGTTACTCTCTCTCTCTCTCTGACTAGCACATATAGTTAAATTTGTATTATTAACATATGTGTAGTTTCAGCAAGTATCATTTAGTGAAAGTGATGATATAGGTCTTCTTGATTATTAAGAATGCAAAATGAAGCTGGAGTCCTTGAAAGGAACCTAAAGTTACTGTATACCTTCTGGGAGGCGCTGTTCCTGGAACAGCAAAGGATGATTAGGAGGCTGAAGGTCTAACTCAGCTGCAGCTGCCACGCCAGCTGTGACATCAGGGTAGCTGGCTGAGGCATGAGGCTGCCAGGTGAGTGGGGCTGTCACTCAGGTGGGAGGGCACAGGGGACCCCTGTGAAGTGGAGGGGAGTGCGTGAGGCAGACGCCTGGCCAGACACAGAAGGGGTCTAGCACAGCATCAAAGATCCCACAGTGGGCTGGGGTCTGGGTGCCGCCTTCAGCAGGGTTCTCTCCACACACTTGCCGGCTCCCCAGGGAAACCCCTTGCCCCAGTACACACCCAGCCAGGCATGCCACTCTGACACCTCCGAAATATTCATCTCCAGCTCAGGATTGTCATTTGAGCTGCACCCAGCAGTCCACTAGACCTCTCTACTTGATGTTGTAGAGACGGCAAACTCAACCTGCCGAACTCTGAACTCGGCACTGGCAGGAGCAGAGGTCCCGAGCCCCAAGCTCCCAGCTGCACGCGCGGGGCTAACGGGGACATTGGGTGGGGCCTGATGCTAGAGAACCGGAGAAGGCTGAGCCTCACATGAAGAGAGACAAAACCTGAACTTTGTTATGAATTTAACCACAGTAAACAGGGCAATTACAATACCTAGTATTTCAGGCCTGAAATGCTGTCTGCTCATTTGACTTGTCTTTCTAGGAGGTGGGCATGATTTTGGTGGCCCAAGTCCTAAAGGACAGCTGTCCAGGGAAGTTGGGCACGGTGTCTTCTGTGCTCAGTTAATATCCTATAGTGAGCAGAGGCTTCACAAGGATTCACTGACCTCAGAGCTGAACTGGGTCCCTTTCCTTAAAAGCAGGCGCTGGAGAGTTGCAGGATTTGGAGGGGCGTGGTTCTGGGGCCCTGCCAGCTGGTGTGGGGGAGGTGGCTGGGCAGGGAGCCCGAGTAGGGTCTCCAGAGTCTCCTCTAGGTCCCATCTGTCTATAAAAGTCTCCTTTTGTCAGACAGATTGGTAGGGAGGGGATGAGGGCAGGGAGCAGCTGAGGTCATTAAATGTACTTGAGGGCGAGCAGAGAGCTCCGAGCATCCTGAGCCCTTCAGGCTCTAGATGGCAGTCCTGCTGCATTATCCCCAGAAGCCCTGAGCGGGGCTTGAGCCCTGGGTGAAGGACTTTGTCTCTTTGCCTGGTGTGTCCACCTGCCACAACATCTGGCCTTGCTCTAAAGCGATGCTGCTGTCCTCACGAGTCCCCAAATCTCCAAGTGTTGCCCCCTCCATGAAATAGGTGCTGCCTGAGGACTCCCACGGACCTTCTTGTGCCTATTCTTTCCCTGCTCACCTTTAGCCACACCCACAATCAAACTCCAGGTCAGATCTCCAAGAGCAGCCTGGGGCGTGTGTGGAAAGAATGCCTGGTGGCATTCTCCCTGACTGGTGGCAGGGTTTCACCCTGGGGACCACTGAGCCCTCTCCGGACAGGCTGAGCACCTTGCCTCTTGCCCCTCAGGCTGACAGGTCTCTGTCAGGGCAGGGCCAGTAGCGGAGGCCCGAATCAAACCCTGAGAGCAAGGAGCTCCTTAGAAAAGTTGGAGGAGTTTGGTGGTGGGAGGTGAGGCGTGGGCAACAGGGGCTGCCCTGGCAGACGGGCACATGTTGCCTCCTGCTTCTCCTTGGCAGGGAGGGATGGGGGGAGGGAGAGGCTGCTGCGGGGGTGGGGGGTGATGGCAGGTGGGCCTGGGCGACAAACTTCCACAGTGTTCCCTTCCTATGTTTATAAGAAAACACATTTTCGACACAATTCATTCAAGTACTTTAAGGTTATAAACCAATTTTCCCTCAAAGTGCTTAGCAAGTTTTAAATATTTTTTGCTTAAAGTGAATGTTCCTCGTAGCATACCGTCTCCTTTTTATACAGGAGTCTATTTACGTGAAATGCTTATTTACATATACCCTGCAGCTCTCATGTGCAGAAATATGTTTCTTTGGCAGTGAAACTCAGTTTGGGACAGATACTTGGGCTCTGTTGGGGAGAAGAGCCAGCTGTGTAGGGGTTTGGGAGGTGCCCGAGATGATTTTAAGGGAAAGAGGCATTTCGGGAAAGGGGAAGGGAGGGCAGGGGGCACGTAACAAAGCCAACCCATTGATCTGGGGGTGGGGAAGAGGCTGATAAGCAAGGATTCATATATTTGGTAAAAAGCTATATCTGTGTGCATTTTTTTAGCTTTTCCTATTCATCCTCTCTAACCAGACTCTCGACAGATATTTTCTAAGCACCTTCTCTGCGTGTTTGAAGCTCTGTGCAAAATGCTCCGCCATCTGCATGGACTGCTCTTTCTAATCAAAAAGCATGTGCGGTGACCTTCTGGCAGCCCCTGGAAGGTTTGTTCTTTCACCGTGGCATCTGCGTCTTCATCGCCAGACAATGAGCCTCACCGTTCATCTGCTTCCTGTGTCACACAGGGAGTAAATGTCACTCTAGCTGGCTGCCTCTCCAAATAGGCACTTTTTCAGCGCTCAGAAAAGGATGTGATATTTGCACAAAGTGCTTTGAAGGTCACCTGCTTGAGTTGCTCCCAACCTCCTGCTTTAGCCCTTTCCATGTAATTTCATCTGTTGAAATACTAATCGTAATCATAGTAGTAATGATGACATCTCCTACTTACTGAGAACTTACCCTGCACCAGGAGCCATGCATGTCTGTATCAGAATTATTTAATTTAAGCATCCCAACAATCTTGTAAGTTTCTTGACCTTCCCATTTTTCAGATGAGAAAACTGAGGTCCCAGAGAAGTTAAGAAACTTGCCCGAGATCTGACCGACTCCCCATGTGCAGGGGAGTCTTAGAACCGGGTCATAGCTCTGGTTCGATGCCGTGCCCTCTGGCAAGTCGCCCATGGTCTCCTGGGCTTGGTAAGGAGCTCCCCCTGCTCCTGTAATGCTGTGCTGCCTCGACCCTAGCCCATACTACCTGGATTGTAGCATTTGTTCACTGCTGGCTCCTCCCATTGACTCGGGCCTCCTCAAGGATGGGGGCCATGCCTCATCCACTGGTCACATTCTGGTCCCAGAACGGTCTCTGGCGGGAACTGTTTGAACCCTGACTGGTTCTCATCGTGCATCATGATGAGCATCCTCAAAGGCAAGGGAAGGCGGGGAGAGGAATTTTTGATCGATGCTGGAGGATGCATGGGTTTCTGTTTTCTAGTCCTGAATTGGACATGGGTGATGAAGAAGGTGACATGTGCCGTCCACGTGAAGCCTCTTCTCCCACCACGGAGGATGAAGTGTATCTTACCGTCAACTCTACATCAGAAGGCCAGCTGCCCTGTGGAGAATGTTTGGAGGCAGATTCAGGGACCATTCCCTTGCCACAGTTCTGTTCTTGGGGTGCTCTCTCAGAGTCTTTGCCTCTGGAAGAGTCCCTTGATAGTGAGAGCGAATGGGAAGATCTAGAGGAGGCTGTGGACCCAGATGATGGTGCCTCAGGTGGGTATCACTCTGTCTGGGTGGAATGCAGCTGGGCTGAGTTCTTCTAGTGGTACTTTGTTTTCAGTCCACTTTGGGAGGATGATGGTTCACGGGCATCATGCATTCCCCTCTAGGGGCCACACATTATCATGGCAGGCGTTTTCACTGATCACTTACCATGGTCCATGTTCTATGACAACCCTATAAGTTAGAGTTATCACCATCCCCCTTTTACAGATGACACGTTTGGGACTTTCCCAGGGTCATACAGTGAGTAAGTGACAGAGTCAGAATTCAACCCCAGGTCTCCCACTGCACGGACCAGGGTTCAGTGCTGTCCTCTGCTGCCTCCAGCACGTGGCTGGGTGCACGATCTCTCCTCAGGCCTCTCTCTTTTGGTGGGTTGCTTGTCAATTGCCGATTCCTGTTTGGTCTGCCCCTGCCTGCCCCTGGGCTAGATAGATTTCAGAGAAGAGTCTTGGTATCACTTAATGGGAACCTTCGTGCTGAGCCGCTGTGGCTCCACAGTGAGCTCTTTCTTGATCAAGAAAGTCGAACTGTTAACACAAGACGCTGCCAGAAGTTGGGCCTAGGTCACCAGGCTAGGGCCGGGTCATGCTGAAGAAGACATGGGAGGAGTAAGTGCAAGGAAAACTGTCAGACTGGGAGTAGGCTGGGTTAAACTCTTGACAGGTTGGTAAACCACACCACTTTCTGTTAAAGTGCCTACAACATATGTATTTCCAGTATTTAAAAAGTGCTGAATGTTCAAGAAACTTTCACATAAACACATTTTCAGGGCGCATTGACACTTACCGAGACATCGGCTCATGAAGATTTAGGTGTAATTGAAACACACTCATTCACTTTCATTCCATGGTGTCTCAGCTACATTTTCACCACGAATGATTGAACTGGATTCTTAGAGAACAGTGGCAGGCGAGTTGATAAGGCGGGTGGATATTTGAAATTCAAATATAACAAAAGGCTGGTTCTTATCTGAAATAGAAAGCAACAGGTTAATAGAGGGGATGTCACGGAGGCTTTGAAGACCGTGCATGCTATTTATGGGGAAGTCAAACACTCTGACAACTTTGGGAATGATGCATTATGGATTCACAAAAGTGTGGACCAATCAGGGATCAGCTTATATGTGGAGGGCAACCTTCCTAGAGGGAAGTGAGTAAGTGACAGAGTCAGCCCTCCTCAGGGCTGGGAAGCTAAGAGAAAATAGGGTCAGCAATGCTTCAGGGACCCACAGGGACGCAACTAAGGAGCACAAGTGTCAGTACTTATGAAATGTCCCAGGAGATCTGCAGTGCCCTGGAGGGAGCTGTAGAGAGCAGAATAGAGAGAGCAGGGTTTTGCAGTAGGGGGCGCTCAGGCTCCAAGCCTGGCTCCGCCACTTACTAGCTGGGTGACCTGCAGCAAATGGCTTTTAAACCATCTAAGACTCAGCTGACTGACTGCCAAACGGCGATGATGAAACCCACCTCAAGCTGTTATCATAAGGGTTAGAGGACATTGTGCGTTGGGTGTTTAGCAAACTGCCTGGCATGTAGTAAGGGCTCCAAAGGTGTTAGCTATTTTTATCATAAATCATAAAGGAGGAAGATGACGCAGGGAAATGATGCAGCTTTATTAAAGCATTCGATCCTGTTGGGTTTTTCCATGTAGACAGGAACTAGGCAACTTTGTCAGACCCGTGCCCTAACATGAGGGGTGGGGTGGGGAGCGGGGAATACTGGCTTATGGCAAGAGTGTCAGGACCTGGGGTGGACTGCATAGCCCTCAGCTATGGACGGTGGTAGGAGTGCAGTTAGGCTGAGTCCCGTCGCAGTCGCTTGTCCTCCCTGCTGGTGAGAGGCTGGTGGCAGGTGTGAGCACTCAAGGAGTGAGCAGCCTGCAGACGTCCTTCAAGGCGTCCTGGACCTCTGCTCCTAGAACATTGACTTACTTGCTTCTTTTGGAAAAAGCAGCTCTTGACGTTCTTTAAATTCTCTGAGAGGTCCACAACTCCCCAAAACTAAGGACCTCTGTTGTCTATATTCCCTCTTTCGTCCTGGGAGTGGGGAGACGTCTTGGAGGGTATGAAGACGACTTTGCTTATGGATGCAGTAGTGCATCCTTTAAATCTATATAACAAATTATTTTGTTTGGTCATTTTAGACATTAAGACAGTAATAGTACACAGCTAGTTTCTATGAACGATTTAATTTAATCCTCACATCGACTTTGAATGGTATTCTAATTTCTCTTTTACAAAGTTTATTTAATTTGTCTGAGATCCTACAGCTAGGAGGGGCGGATTCACCCTGCATCTGTCTGATTCTACTTTTGGTGCATTTTTACATTTCCTCTAGAATGTGTCTTTCCACACGGACTTGTGTAACACACAGGTCTTTCCATCACGTGTCAGGAGTCCTACTTTTTCTCTCACATAATGTTTCTCTCTGATGAGGCTAAACCAACCCTCGCTGTCCCGTGAGATTAGGAAGGCCATCCAACTGTTCTGTTTAGGGAAGGCCGCTGGTCAAATGGTGAGGTGACCCGGTAAGAGCTCCTTGTTGCTTTAGGTGAACACAGTCTTCAAAGGCAGAATCCGAAGATTTCCGCACGGACGTCCTTTTGACCGTGATCACGTGGGAGAGCCCTCAGATGTCCTTGGTCCAGAGAATGTACCCACAGCCTCCGCCACCAGGAAATAAGCCTGTGGGTCCCTGAGAAGATGATCTGGGATGGAGGGTCTAGCCCAGTTGTTAAGAACTAACTTCAAATGATCATGCCTGTCACTTCTGAGACTCATTTTGAATAGTGGCCATGACCTCTGTCAGTTCTGGGGTTTATGTCAGTAAAGCTTTGTGTGGGTGTGTGAGTACTCTTGTACTTATGTCTAGGGGGTGGGGGCTCACTCTTGTGAAAGAACTTGAGAACCAACCTCCTATATCAAGATAAACCAGGACAGGGCCAGGTCTCGCTGCTGCGATGGTTCACACTTTCTGGGATAGATACAATGATCCAGTTTGCACTTTTTAGATCTTCATTGGTTGAAGGAGTGTCCACGGTTTTCAAAGTGCCCCAGTTCCCTCAAAGGAATCTGCTGAGGGACTTGGCTCAAAGGTCTTGGGAGTAACTTGTTTTGAGATCTTTCTGTGTTCTTCCTATGCAACTCCATTTGACTATAAATTCTTTTAAAAGCATTTTCCTTTTGGACTCAACAACCTGATTCTAAAGATTATGTGAAGGAAAAATAAGATGGGAACATCTAATAAAAAAGGAAGAGTGAAGTGGGAGATCCAGCATTACTAGACATTAGGACACACAGCCACCACCATAACAAAAGACCAAAACCATGTGGGATTAGCAAATGCACAAAAGAAATAGACCCGATGGACCACAGTGTGAGCAAAGGAACACACTCGGCGCTCTATACTGGGGGACACATGGCAGTCAGCATCTCAGCATGGGGGAGGGAGGGGAACTTCATAGCTGGAACTGTGATAGCTGGAGAAAATGATTTAAATTCAAAGCTCACTTCAATTACTAAATCACATACAGATTGATAAATACAAAAAAACACATCAGAGAAAAACTGGTAAAAAATGGACTCTAGTTTTATCAAATCGACAGAGGAATAATAAGCTTCCTCTGGCTTACGGCAGTAGACAAAAAGCATAACAAGGAAGAACTACAAAGTTGACAATATTGAAAAAGTTAAAACTTCTGTACAATAAAAAAATTAATGTAAAAATAGGAGCAATGGTTTGGGAAAACATTTATATAATTGTGAGTAAAGATTAATATCTATAATATTTAGAAAGCCCATTATAATTTATAATAGATTAATAAAGGATTTCAATAGACAGTGTATACAATAAAAATACAAATCGTGGACAAAAACATAGTCTAATCAAAATAATGTCACTGTACTAATTTGTGTTCACCACATTTGCAAAATTTTAAAAAACACAATCCAATTCTGGCAAAATTTTGGTGAAGCTAGTGTACTCAGAAATATCAAAA